AGCATAAATGTCAGCCACAGCTTTTTTAACAATAGAGCATGAATTTTCGCCTTTTCAGAGAGTGTTTCTTTACAAAATATAGGCAACAACAGACACCCAAGACATGGGACATGATGCATGCCGCTTTTCTTCATCATCGATTCTGTTAATGCGAGTCATATTGCTGGATCCCCCAGTGATGAAGGAGACGAACCCCCTAACCTTATCGCGGTAACTATAACTGTGGACAGGCACACATTACAATAAAGATAAAATGACCAGACAACAGCGACACTTGRCTTGACCACCGACCGCCAATATGTTTTGCATTCAAAATTTACCAAAAGTCATCACTCTTACCCTAAAAATAGCTTCAACTTGTGAAAATGWTGAGATACTTCAGCGGAAAATGCATGATGAATTTCCAATTTTTTCTAAAGCAGATGAATAAAGCAGAGCATTTGAAGTATGTGCTTTCCCCTTATTTAGCGTCTATGATAACCTCTTGGCTATGTTAAGGCATGTTGAATATGCCATGCTAAATGGATGCATCCCTTTGCCTTTAATCTTAACAGACAGGAAACGTTCGTTAATGTAGATAATCAGTCCAAGTCAGCACTAGATTTGATTTTACCGGTCGCAAATTTACTCTTTTGAAGCCTCCTATCTATAAGAGGGTATGCTACGGTCCCAAAAATCAAATGAAACATTATTGTATTGGCTTGGTTTTATCTTTTAGTGGCCATTATCCAGATTCTCGTTATTGYAGTCGAATTGATAGAGAACAGCCAGTTTGCGACAAAAAGGTTTGTCTTTTCTTTGACCTTCCAAGAGACGTGTTCTATAGAAATGTGCCTCTATTTGAGAGACCGAGTATGGCTTATGATGCAATTGACGACATTGCATGTAGCCTGGGCGTTTCAAGGGAAGATCTTCACATTGTAAGTCTCTGGTGCGATCTTGTCAAATAGATCAGTAGCCCGAAGGGGCTTGTTTTTGGCGATCTCCACTTTACTTTGCGTAATAACACCGATTTGAAGTGTGATTCTCAGCCGCTCTTTATCCCAACAGTCAGTTGCATTGCAAACTTTTACTTGAAAAATGTCTGTTTTGTTTTATTGATTGAAAAAGAATCTGTTTTTAGAAGCATTGTTGATTGCAGTTCTGTTATTAAACGATCTGTGGGGAACTTTGTGGCCATTACAGGAAAAGGGTATCCTTGCGTATCGACTAGGCAGTTTTTAAGGCTTTTATCCTTAAAATATCCAAATATTCCGATATTTGGTCTTTTTGATTGCGATCCATATGGGATGGACATATATTATGTTTACAAATATGGTTCTAGGGTTTGATATCGCCATTAATAGAAGAATCTTAGTTACGAGTCCGATTCTAGCGTGATCAGCTCTATTCAGCTTCTAGGTTTATCCATCAATSAAGCTCAAGAAATTTCAAAAGAGCTAGACAACCTTGACTACATGTTTATGTCTCTTTCAAAAAGAGATTATAAAAAGCTTTTAATGTTGCTCGAGTTTTCGTTTTCCGTATCAGAGTATTCGATGATGTAAGGCATCTTTCTGATCAAAAGCGAAATCTTGTACTCTATGCTGCACTCTGGTGCTAAAGTTGAGCTGGAACTGCTTCATTCCCTCAATGGAGGGTATGCAAAATTTATTGAGCTGCAAGTAGCCAACTTGAAATAAAAATACGGTCTCACAATTTCCATTTTTCGAGGAAGCATCCACCAAATCGATGGGAAACTTCGTTCCAATCTACTGCGTTCCAAAAAGAATTCAAATATCCTGCCCTGTTAAAGGAATGGGTAGGTAAGTATGCATGCTCCCATAAGGATACACCAAGAATTGGCCATTGTAGCGGATGTTTCAACGACGCATTATCATGATGGTCAAATAAAAACGGCGTTCCTAAATGATTAGAAGCCGTGAAATCGAATACCGGCTTGAAGGGTTATAATGATTTTTAATTGGCCTTCTCTATTCTCTACTAACCATAGCCATCCTGATCCACCAAAGAAAGCTAGCCCAACATTTTCAAACTAATGTTATGATAAATGAGCTACCATTTTTTTAAACTCCTCCATGCTACCAAAAGACCGCCCAATAGATGTCGTTATCTTTTCTTGGATCGTATTTGGAGATTCATGTAGATCTGCAGCAGAAGGCATACCCATAGGTTCAAGATTAGAACATCTTGACTGCATTAAAGAGGATAGAAACAATTCTATATTTAAAGCCTGGGAAATGTATTGGAATTTATGACACTCAGATAGGATATTATTTTTGGCCGCCAGAAGTGAAAACCAACATCCCAAAGTTATATTAGTTTGTTCAACAGGGGACATTAGAGACTTTGAAACGAAAGATGGCGCTATGTTTTCATCGATTCCGAGCGAAGAAAGTTTAGCAAATAGAGATTGGCGATAGCCGTTGATGAAGGAGAGCCCATTTTTGCCAATAAATGGCAAAGGTTTCAGTCGATGTCCCTGGGCATCCTTTCTTTCGATGGTCCAACTGGAGCTCTCAAAACGATGGGCAAGGTTAAGGGTATGTAATGGCTGTAAAGATTGGTTTAATGCGCGCGTCGATACATTTGCACTGGAGGGTTGTGTAAGAAATCGATGACAATTGTAAGATAACTTTAAAGACATCTTAATAAATAAAATTAAAATCCTTCATTTGATAATTTTCCTTTCCATCATACGATTTCCATGGGTATTACTGAAATTGTTATGCCAAGGGATCCTTTTTTCCAGACTCTTTAGTTCGATTTGGGGAGAACGGGAGTTTAGGGTTTTGATTCTCGGTCTCGATGGTGCAGGCAAAACAACTATTCTGTACAAGCTTCAGGTAACTGTTCTATGTTATTATTGTAGTTGGGTGAAATCCTGTCTACCATTCCGAGTATAAGGCTATCTTTTATATAACTATAGCGATTGGATTTAACATGGAGACTCTTTCGTATAAAAATCTAAAGTTCCAAGGTAACCAACATCCCAAGGTTTAACTATTGCTTAGTATGGGATTTGGGGGGACAATCCACAATCAGGCATGAGCATGGTTCTAAAATTCACCTATAGACCATATTGGAAGTGCTATTTTTCAGAAACGGATGCAATTATTTATGTAGTGGACGCGGCTGATGTTGACCGCGTATCTATATCGAAAGCAGAGTTAGCTCTTGTGCTTGAAGAGGAGGACTTGAAAGGATGTGCTCTTCTGGTCCTTGCAAACAAGCAAGTATGTAAAAACCTGAGATAATTAGCAGGACCTTCCAGGAGCCTTGAATTCTCAGGAGCTAACAAAGGCTCTTGGACTTTCCGCTGTTCGAGAAAGATTATATGCAGTTTTTAACGCCTCTGCAATTCAAGGGCAAGGTCTATTTGAAGGCCTTGATTGGCTAGTGACAGCTGTTCAGAAGCCAAAAGGGTCAAGTTCGCATGATGGTGGCGGGGAGGAGCTTCTATGAAATGTTGCGCATTTCAAGCACTGGCTATTAATGTTTTCAGCTTGGTACACTGTATATAAAGTTGCTTTTACTTGCTAAATTTAACTTGAATTGAATTAACTTGAATTGAATTGAATTGTACTTTTATATTTATACACTTGGGTAAAATTACTCATTTCAAGTTCATAACTCCCTGGTGTAAAAGTTGGCCTTTTAGTTTACGAAATCAAATATCATCATCACCACTATTGTCTCCATTCATTTTGAATAGTATTAGGAATTTAAAAGTCATGCAAGTCCAAGCTGTTTCGTCCGCACTGTCAACTATGTCTGTATTTTCATCTCACCATGAAGAACAGATCCAGAATCTTGGCGATCCTTCCAAGACGATGCCATCCTTCATCAAGCCAAGAATCGATCTTTTTGATCATTTAAAGGCTGAACATCTCAAAAAGTTATCTGAAAAAAAATCTGCTTCGATTAAGATTTCTCTCGCTGACGCCAGAAGCTTTGAAGGGGAGTCTCTGATCACTACTCCTTTGGATATTGCCAAACTTGCTTTTGGAAACAAAGTCGCCGACACTTTTATAGTTGCCAAGGTATTGCATAATCCTATACTTAATTTAGGTAAATGGGCAACTTTTTGATATTACAAGACAATTGGAGTGTGATTGCTCCATTGAGTTTTTTGACTTTAACTCGGAGCAAGGCCAGTCTGTCTTTTGGCATTCCTCTGCTCATGTGTTAGGTGAAGCCTGTGAGTATAAGTATAATTGTTTGCTCTGCCATGGCCCTCCAACGGAAGATGGCTTTCACTATGATATGAAACTTCCAGAGGGCCAGACCGTTAATCCCTCTGATTTCCCCCAGTTGATAGAACTTGCAACAAAGTTCATCAAGGAAAAGCAGCCTTTTGAGAGGCTGGAAATGTCTAAAGACGATCTTTTAAAGATGTTTTCTTATAATCCTTATAAGATCCACTTTATACGCGAGAAAATCGCGGACGGGTCATTTTCTACCGTTTACCGTTGCGGGGATCTTATTGACTTGTGTATGGGGCCACATGTTCCACACACCGGTCTAATAAAGGCCTTTGAAGTAACCAAAAATTCATCTTCTTACTTCTTGGGAGATGCCAACAAGGATTCTTTGCAAAGAATCTATGGAATATCTTTTCCAGATGTCAAGCTTCTAAAGGAGTATGTTAAATTTAAGCAGGAAGCTGAACGTAGAGATCATCGTCGTCTTGGAAAAGACCACCAGCTTTTTTTCTTTCATGAGCTTTCTCCTGGTTCGTGCTTTTTTCTTCCCTATGGAGCGCGAATATATACTTCTCTCGTCGAATTGATGAGAGAAGAGTACAGAAAACGTGGATTCCTTGAGGTTATCTCTCCCAATATTTTCAATGTCAATCTCTGGAAGACATCTGGGCATTGGGAAAATTATCAAGAAAATATGTTTTCGTTTGAAATTGAAAAAGAAGTATATGCTTTGAAGCCTATGAATTGCCCCGGGCATTGTCTTATGTTCGCCCATCGTGAAAGATCTTATCGCGAGCTCCCGCTGCGTTTGGCTGATTTTGGGGTCCTGCACCGTAATGAGCTTTCCGGGGCTTTGACTGGACTTACTAGGGTCCGTCGCTTTCAACAAGACGATGCTCATATATTTTGTCGAGCAGATCAAATTTCAGACGAAATTCAGGGATGTATTGCGTTTCTTGATGCCATTTACTCAATTCTTGGTTTTACATACTCACTAAAGCTTTCCACGAGGCCAGAAAAGTTTTTAGGTGAAATTGACACATGGAACGCCGCTGAAAAGCAGCTTGAAGATGCACTTCGGTTGTCAGGAAAGTCATTTGAACTTAATCCTGGAGATGGAGCGTTTTATGGCCCCAAAATCGATATCACTCTTACAGACGCTCAACGTCGCCGCCACCAATGTGCTACCATTCAACTCGATTTTCAGCTCCCGCAGAGATTTGATCTATCCTTCAGATCAGCATCGCATGATGAAAGCTCAATGCACGAACGGCCAGTGATCATACACAGGGCAATTTTGGGATCTCTTGAACGCATGATTGCCATTTTAACGGAAAATTATGCAGGAAAGTGGCCATTTTGGCTTTCCCCTCGTCAGGTTATGATTGTGCCCGTTTCGGCAGCAACTTTTGAATATGCAGCGCGCATCTGCCAGCAGTTTGTATGTGAGGGCGTACACGCAGAAGTTGATACAAGTGACGTCACTTTAAACAAGAAGATTCGCAATGCGGAAACCTCACACTTTAATTATGTCTTTGTTGTTGGGCAGTCTGAGCAGGATTCTAATTCGGTTAATGTTAGAAAGGCAACAACCGAGGGCAAGGACAGAGTCTGCTCCGTCGATGCAGCATTATCGATGCTACTCCAAATGAAGCAACTTCGATCCAAAGAATCGCTTTTTGCCCTTTAGTTCTGCATATTAATAAATCGTGCATTTTTGCGTGTCAAGCTAGTGATTTAAATATTTAATTTGCCGCACCCGTGCAGAATAACTTTCAATGGCATGGTGCCCCCCCCCTCCCATTTTGTAAATATTGGTTTTCAACATTGGTTTCATTTCAAACGAATTTAAATTTATTTTTTTGAACCAAGACCAGACACTATGCATCCCTCTGACGTTCCAGATGCTGTTCCCGGTAATGCCGATATCCTCGAAGACACTTCACTAAAGTCAAATCATGCATATTTAGAATATTCGAGGGCACTTCGGGACCTTACTTTTAATTCCAAACCAATAATAAATGGTCTTACCATCTTAGCTCACGAATATTCCCGTTCCTCTAATTCGAAGCCTGTTGCAGCCGCTGTATTGGACTATTTTTTAAAGGTAACAATGGAATTTTAATCTCCAGACTAATCATAAACTATCGGCGTTATATCTTATAGATTCTATATGTAAGAACCTTCCCCTACCAGTGGCCGATTATGTTCCACTATTTACAAGTAAAATAGCATATGCATTTTCCACCGTATTTTTATCGCTAAAATTCGATCATTCAAATCCAAACGACCAAAGGGATTTTTTGCGCGTACTTCAGACATGGCATAATGTGTTTCCGCACTCCACCATTAAAGAAATAGAGGCCGCAATTTTCGGGAATACCAATCCCATCCCCTCTTCTTCGCATGCCTCTAGCATCGGCACCGATGCTGGAAATGATCATGGTAAGTCTCAATCGAATGTATGGATGCAACAACAGCAACCACATCTATCAAGAAACTCGATTCCCGCATATCCTCAAGTGGGATATCCTTTTCATTTTCCAACCTCACCTTATCATCAGCATCCATTTGGGACCCATTATCCAATCAACCAATTCATCGGCCAGATGTCTTCTGCTCATCAATCTGGCCAGACGCCGCCCCATCTTCAACCTAGGAGCCAGGCACCTCATCTAGCGCAACCTTTTGTTCAGCCCACCCAATCTTCTGCTATTTCTCGTCCTGGTCATGCTTTAAACGAGCCTGTTACTTTTACATCGGGAAATCCATTAGATTTATTGGAAGAACTGAAAGATTTTTTGCAAACTTCTTCAAGTGACCAAGTAAGCCCGGCAGGTAAGCATATTGATTTTATGTTAGAGCTCTTTTTTTACCGATCACCGCCTGTTAGGGTGGATCTTTCGTTTTCCGGCATTCAAAGGTAAATCCAATTGATTTACCATAGCATCACTGCTGATTTCTTTTCTTTCCTCTACGAGAAACTCCCTTTACAATGTCACGTGTGTGGACTGAGATGGGGGGATGATTCCAGCCACAGGATGCTGTTTGACCACCATCTAGACATCCATTTCAGGAAGGCCCGCAGGAACCAGGATCCATCTTTTCGAAGGAGCTTGGCTAGGCAATGGTACCCGTTGGGAGAAACCGAGTGGAAATTGCTACGCCTGACGGGAAAACCAAACGATATAAGCACGGTTGAGGAAAGGAAGCCTCCAGAACCCCCTGTTTCAAAGCGAACCCGACATGAAAGTGTTGACCCCAACTATTCTGACGAAGAAAATGGAGACGAAGACACCCCGGAGAGCCTCTTTATTCCTAAAAGGCCAAATTTTTCTAACCGCCTCCCTAACAATGGCAATGAAGATGAGGATGACGAATGAATTCTCAAATATTTGTAAACTTAAATAAAATTTAACCCCTTCTTTGGCCTGTCGGTGCACAATGGCGCAAGATGCTCGGCTTGTCATCACGCAATGCGCGCAAATGCTCGATTGTAAGAATTTATCAAACTCGTCGATCGTAAAGTCGTTTGAAGTATTATTTTTGGATGTTTATGCTTTAATCAATATAGACGCTGCATTCTGCTCTTTCTTCTATCGATCAGGATAAACTGTCCATAGAGATTATCAAGTGTGTGGCATCCGCTTTGATAGGCAATGACTTTCAGTTCGTTCACAATGAAAACGAATTTATATTGGCCCTTTGCTTGCTTTGTATTTCAAATGCCCTTCGACTGGCCGCGCCTGAATCTCCGTATTCTCCTGATGAATTAAAGGTATTTTACACCCGAAATTACGATCAGCAAGTCTTCTTGGCGTTCCACAAGATATGGAAGAGGCTCTCAAATGAAGATGATTCTTTATTTTCATATTCTCATAAGCTGCTGGAGGGCATTGTACTAGTTCGGTCCGGCGTTTTGATCCTTGAAGCAGCAGACTCTGTTGTTTTGATCAATGCGACTTTTGATCTGTGTTATGCTTTGGCTCCAAGGGATTTTACTCTTTTTTACCTGATAGGGTTTCCGATGCCGTTATCAGATTGCTAATGGAATACCTGCAGTCCATCATCGAAGAATCTGACGTGTTATTTCCAGAGTCCATTCATGCTCTTTTGGCTCCAATAGGGGTCGATGCAAGCCATTGTAGATCCGATGTTATAGTACGATCATGTGTTACCATTTTTAGTCTCCATCTTCCAAACTTGTGCTTCGTCTTCTACATCAATGTTCTTTCCACCTTCAGCCATTTATGTCGCAGGTAAACGTTCAGAACCGCTCTATATTTGCTAGTATTTTTCGTCCAAGTTTGACCAAATGACGAGAAAAGAGTTGCGAGATCCAGAGATCAAGACATGCCAGCAAGTGATCGCCAATGTTATCCGACATGCTCCCCATGTATTGGCAATGTCTTGGGATGTTTTTTCGTCGTTTTTAAGTGTATTTCCAAATAGCTGTGATTACTAATAATAGCATACCGATGTTCTCGTCAGGCTACAAATGACGAAATTTTTCGGTGACATTTTGAAGACCCACAGGTGTCTTTTGAATGCGCAATTTGAGGCTTCAATATTTGAGCTTCGAAACGACCCGTCAATTTCTATTCGAATGGCATGGATTGAGCTTGTGCTTTCTCGTGAAGCACAAAATCCACATCTGCCTCGATCTATGCCGTCTCTTTGTGCGCTTTCCGCCGCAACAACACAGGGACTTATTGAAAAGATGCTTGATCCAGAAGAAAGGGTTAGGTCGTTCACTTTGGAAAGACTTGCTTTTTTTTCATCCCATTTGAAGGGCCAAAATGCAGACGAACTTGTTGAAGTTGTTGATGCAGCAATTGAGCGTATGCGCGACGTTAAAGAAAGCGTCAGAAACTCGGCAATCCTATTTTTGTGTGCAATTGTTAACCATCAACTACTTATGTCAATGGATGCTGATTCTAATATCGCTGAAAGAACCAGTAAAATTATAGATGAGCTTTTTTTGCTATGCAGCATTTCTTCACCACTGCCGCTTCGTCTTTCATACATTTCTTTCATTGAAAGCTCTTTGTTTCCTTCGCTCTTAAAGTCAAGCAAGGGCAATGACATAACAATTCTGACTCTTGTTGCCAAGCATTTAATTTCATCCTCGTCCGATCTTTCCAATTCACCTCGAGCCTGTTCGTCTTTTGTTAGATACTTGAGGATGAAAGTTCTTTTTCATCAATGGATTCAATCCATAAAGTGTGCCTTTATAAAGCTAAAGTCTGATCATGATACCCTCCATGATGGTGAAAATTTACTTTTCCATGCTTCTTTATCGAAAAAGTGTCCAGAAAAGGACACATTTGTTAAATATTCGATTGGTTTGGCACCAGATTTTATCCGAAATGATGAAAAGTCTCTTTCATCGCTCATGGAAGCCTTGTTTGACAATTACTTAAATGTTGATTTTGGGGCGGATATTTTCGCGCAATTGTCCGAAATCTCGGCAACTTTTCCCGGCTGTTTGAGTACACCAGCTAGCAAGAAGCTTTTAAAAAATATTCTTTCTTTGCAAAATGGACACTCTTTTTATTGCTCTGAAGGAAAAGTTTGCCAATTTTTGCAGTCATTGGATGACACTCAGTGTCGTTGGCTACTTAAACGATATCCGCCTCTTGGCTTTGCCTTTATAAAGCAAAGGCATTCTCTAGCTGCAAGCCGAAAACACAAACTGTGTTCAATAGATAACCACAAAGATCTTGATGATGTCTCACGCTTCCACTTTATTTTCGCATCCTTCTACTATTATTGTGATTTTTCGTCGTTTTCTGCTGCCGCTGATYAAGAGATCCATCGATGGGTTGTGGAGAATATATCAGGCTTTCTTGGCACCGAGATTTCTCGATCTCCGGACCTCTCTTCAAAATGTATAAGAGTTTTGTTGTCATATATGAACGCTAAAAACATTTCCCCCTCCTTTAAATTTTTCCAGGATACCTTAGGCAGTGCCATTAGTTGGTCTCTTACTCGTTTCGCTGCAGAGGAAAAAGATCCTGTATTTGTCGATACGACACTAATACGATCGACAGATCACATCATATCAATAGAGATCCTTTCGGCGCTCCTGAGAAGCCGAATTACGATTCTCGACAATGCAGCAATAGAGGAGCTTTTAGATGGAACATTTTATTACCTGAAAAAGGTTCTGACATCTCCAATCTTTCCGTCACTCCAACTAGAGCAATCCTCGATAAAGGTAATATTCGGTTCTCTTTCCTCGGTAGATCTTAATTAAGCACATGAAATTTCTCTTTTATGCTATCACCTATCTATTAAGGGAAGATGTTTTAGATAGCAATCGGTCATTACAGCGACGACAACGTGTTGATCAGTATCTTCAACTTATATCCAGCATTGTTACTTGCCAGAAAAATAACGATCTTACCATTTGCGCATCATGGCTATATTTAAAGTTGCTTGCTATTCTCCAAAACAAAACAGGTGAAAGGTATCCCTGGATTTTACCGTCCCTTGTTGACATATTACTACAGAAGACTAATATTGCAGATGATTGGGCAAAGAAATTTGCAAAGTTAATTGTGATCCAACAGAGCGCAAAATCAATAATTTCAACTCTCTGCTATGCCCTTGTTGTTTTCTCAACATCTTATTCCAAGTCACTCAATGTAGTAATTCAGCAATTGGCAGCTAGAGCGAGTGTTTTATCGCCCCATGAAAGCATCATATCGGCTTTACTACTTTTTCTTTCTTTCACACCTGATCAGTTTGATTCTGACTCGCTTGAAAAAATCTTGACCCCCATTAATGAGGCTATCAAGCCGACTTTGATATCTGACAAAGCAATTCAACGTGTATGTAATGCACAGATCATATCTCAATTTGTATGGCAAGGTGAGGCTAGCTCTTTTGATGAACATAAAATCATAACGACGGTTAACAAAGTAGCCCATTTATTTGCTGTCTACAACAAATTTGCTAGGCGAGAACCTCCAGACGAAAATGTGAATCGGAATCTTGGCCAGCAAAGAAGCTCCGAAAATATGCATATCAAGGGCACATCTGATCACGATGCTGCACAATGACTTTAAATTCTCAAAATATGAATGGCAAATTTGAAGGCTGCCAAAATCCGAATTATTCCCATAAAGCCCACTTAATTTATTTGCATTTAAATTAAATTTTTACTTACGAATGGACCCCGATTTGGAGCAGTACTGGAATGAATATGAGGCCCAAGTTTGCTCATCCTCTTCAAAAGGGAAGAAAAATAAAAAACCTCAAAAGGAAGAACCCCTAGAAAAGATAGATGGAATATCAAAACGCAAAATTCTAGCAGAGGATCAGAATACCAGTACAAATCAGACGAAGCTGTCAGGTGATTCCAAAAAGAGGAGCGAGACGAAAGAATCCAGCGCGACAAAGAAGGAATCCAGCGCAACAAAGAAGGCAAATAGTTCTAAAAAGAGCATCGATACAAAGAAAGGATCTTCGGAACTCGAAATTATTCAAGAAACCAATACAATGGCCCCGAAAAAGTCGTCTTCAAAGAAAGACGAGGAGGAAAAAAAATTAGAGCCTTCCTCAAGCAAGAAAAAGCCCCAAAATACGGCCATCCTTGCTATTAAGCGAATGCAGGAGGCAATGAAAGCCCAAGAGGAAGAGTTAAAGAAGCTTGAGGAGGAAGAGCGGCAAAAAGAAATGGATGCTCAGCGAGAGGCTGAGGAGAAGAGGTTGGCTGAAGAAGCTGAGCGCCAGCGTAAGCGGGATCGACGAAAGGTACGCAAGTTTTTTCTTTTCTAGGCTCGCCAACAAGCCCTAAAAAAAGAGGGTACCAAGGCCGAGCGCGAACGTCTTAAAATAGACAAAGAGAAGATTACGATTTTACAGCAACAATCCATTAACCACCATAATCTCGATAATCCCTCGCAAGATCCTGCTCCTGCTCCTGAAAGGAAAAAGTTGGTTTACACCAAGAAAAAGGCGTCCTCTAAATCGAGCTATGCTTGTTCTCAAATTTCTTCTGCTCACACATCAAAGTTATCCACGACCGATTGTGTTTCAGATAAAGGCACCATATCCACAGATTCGGGCTCTTCAAATGAGGAAATTCTCGACTCTTGGGAAGATGCCCTTGAAGACAAGGACGATGATTCCAATGATTCTCTTATTACTGGGCTTACCGCTCTTAATTGCAAAGATGCATGGGTCGCCAATCAGCCACAGATTTCAACTTCAGCTAATGCATCGATGAACATCCCAGCAACTATGAGAAGAGCGCCAGCTGATCACAAGTCGCACGTACCTTCACTCACTGTCAAGACCTCAATGCCAATCGACAATTCTGGAAACAATGAGCAACTTATATCTGTAGCTCCAGTAGAGCAGGACCTTATGTCTCCAATTATTTGTGTTCTTGGCCACGTCGACACCGGAAAAACAAAGCTGTTGGATAAGCTTCGCGAGACAAGCGTCCAGGAGAATGAGGCTGGAGGTATTACTCAACAAATCGGGGCCACGTTCTTTCCCCGCGAGGCCATCATCGCTAAAATGTTAATAACCGGCAGCGAGAATGAAGGGCTACACGTGAAAATCCCTGGACTCGTTGTGATTGATACCCCGGGCCATGCCTCATTTGCCAATCTTCGTGACCGTGGATCCTCTTTGTGCCATCTCGCTGTGCTAGTAGTTGATATCATGCACGGGCTGGAACCGCAAACATTAGAATCCATTGAGTTATTGCGTCGTAGGCGGACACCGTTTGTAGTAGCACTGAACAAGATTGATAGGCTCTATGGCTGGTCTCCAGTGCCCGGTGCCCGTAGCTGGAGTGAGATTGAGGCTGCTCAGAAACCATCCACCGTTGCTGAGTTTCGTGACAGACTTGATCGCACAAAGCTTGCTTTTGCCTCACAAGCAGGTCTCAATGCAGAGCTGCATCAAGAAAATACGAATCCACGCTCCACGATTTCATTGATCCCTATCTCTGCCCTTACAGGCGAGGGGATTCCTGACTTGCTGCGGACAGTTGTAATGCTAACGCAGGAGCGCCTGGGGGCTGCGCTTGTTTTTGATGAAAATCGATTTTCAGCTTTTGTATTGGAAGTGAAGAGCGTGGAGGGCCTTGGGCACGTCATCGATGTCATTCTGACACAAGGAACGTTAGCAGAGGGTGACCAGTTTGCTGTTGCTGGCCTTTCTGGACCCATTCTAAGCCAGGTGCGGTCACTATTGACCCCAGAGCCCATGAAAGAAAGTAGGGTAAAGACGCTTCGTTACCTGCATCATACAACCGTTCGAGCATGCATGGGAGTCCGGATAGTTGGACTGAATTTAGAGGCAGCAGTTGCCGGTTCCCGTCTCGTTCGAGTAACTAAAAGTGATGCTGACGAAGGTGACGACGACGCCGCTACTGTTGCAATGCGGCTGGTTGATGAGGAGATGAGAGAGGTTTTGGGAATTAAGGCAGCTCTTTCTAGTGCTGCCGATCGCTGCCGTAGTGGTGCTGCCGGTGTCAGTGTGCAGGCCTCCACGCTAGGATCCCTTGAAGCGTTATTGACTTTTCTTGCGGCAAATGACGTCCCTGTCGCTACGGCGTCGATTGGCACAATTTACAAGCGTGACATTCTAACCACGGCTGCCAATTTGGAGCGATGGACCACGGCTGGCAACCCGGAGGCTCGAGATTATGCTGCCGTGTTGGCGTTTGACGTTCGCGTAGACCGCGAGGTGAGGCCTGTGCTTGATATTTGAATGCTTTTGTATTGCTCCTTTCTGCTTCTCTTTAATTAGAAATTTTCTCCATATCACGCTATTCCTAACTTTTATAGGCACAGGAGCTTGCGGAAGACCTTGGAATTAAGATATTTTCGGCAGACATTATCTACCACTTACTTGATACCTTCAAGGCACACCGCTCGGTGTTGGTCGAGCAGCGTAAACGAGACCTGGCGCCACAAGCTGTTTTTCCTTGTGTTCTCAAGATAGTCCCTGGATGTGTCTTCAACAAACGCTCCCCGATCATTTTAGGTGTTCAAGTAACAGAAGGTGTTTTGCGCATTGGAACACCCCTGGTCATACATCAAGGAGAAGGAAAGCCTCTATCGATTGGCCGCGTTACTTCGATCGAGCTCAATCATCGTCCTGTGGACAAAATCCGGCGGGGAGGCTCTTCAGTTGCCATCAAGATCGAGCAGGCTTCATACGAGATTCCGCGAATGGTTGGGCGCCACTTTTCCGAGAACGACGAGCTGCTATCAGCCATTTCGCGGACGTCCATCGATATTCTCAAAACGAGTTTCCGCGAAGAGATGACTGCAGAAGACTGGCAGCTGATACGCCGCCTCAAAGGGCTTTTTGGAATCCAATGAGACCGGGAAGGACCTGACGATCTCTTAGCAATAAAGTGATCAACATAGGCGTTACAACGACTTCCCAGCCACTTTGGGGCTCGTAAATTAAATGGGGATAATTTAGTGTATTTTTACTCTATCCAGACGGGAGGTTATTTGAAGGAGCAGCAATCGATTAATGCCCAGTCCATTGGATCTTACGGAGATCAATGCCTTGTTGTATCATTTCCCAGAGTGGGGAGATTTCCCGCAACCGCCGCACATGACGCACTGTTCGTTGGGTGACAGCATCTACCTCATCCCTGGTGGTGAAGCGCCCAATTCCGAAGCGGATGGAGGAATGGGCCATGTCTTCTTCAGTGCCGAGGGCTCGAAGCACATAAGAGGGCTCCAGCGAAGCCGAGGTGCAAGCAGAGCCTGATGAACACGCAACATCTTTAAGTGCCATCAGCAAAGATTCGCCCTCGACACAGCTGAAGGAAATGTTGACACATCCTGGATAAAGGGAAGCATTTGAAGTCCCATCTGAAGAAACTGCACCATTGCGCTCGATCATCGGAAGTTGGTCAAACAGACCGCGGATGAGGCGGTTGGAAAGGTGATCGATGTGTTTTATATCGGCATCCATCTCCTGAGCAGCGACACGAAACGCAGCCCCAAGGCCGATAACAAGAGGCGCGGGTATGGTACCGGATCTCAATGACCGCTCCTGGCTCCCACCCGTGAATAGCGGTGTCAAACGAACACGGGGACGACGTCGGATAAAAAGAGCTCCTACACCTTTGGGTCCGTAGATTTTGTGCCCGGAAATGGAAAGTAAATCGATAAATGACTTTTCAACATCAATCGGGATCTTTCCAACGGCTTGAGCGGCATCGCAATGGAAAAAGGCACCATGAGATCGAGCGACACGCCCGATTTCCGTGATCGGCTGAATAGACCCAATTTCGTTATTAATAGCCATGATGGAGATGAGACGGGTTTCTGGCCGTAGAGCGCCTTTCACACTCTCAACATCGACTATGCCTTGTTTGTTGACGGGAAGGTAAGTGATTGTGGCTTCCCCGGCCTCTTCCAGAAATCGGCATGTATCTAGCACACACTTGTGCTCAACGACCGAAGTGATGATGTGTGGAACTTGCGTAGTGCTGCCATAAAAGCGCACAATACCTCTGATGGCCATGTTTACAGACTCGGTAGCTCCGGAAGTGAAAATGATTTCTGACGGCGTGCTTGCCCCAATGAGCGAGGCCACAGATGTTCTTGCTTCTTCTACAGCAGCCTCGGTTTCCCAGCCATATGCGTGTGTTCTGGAGTGCGGATTTCCGAATCCGTAAGTCATCCACGGAAGCATGGCATCAAGAACGCGCGGGTCGATGTTTGTAGTGGCCTGCACGTCAAAGTAAATTGGACGGTCATCATTGCATGTTGGGCGCTTTAACTCAAATCCAAAAGAAGGAAGCGAAGACTGGTGTCGACGTGCATACAGCACGCGAAGAAAACGAAGCCTTGGGATGAGGATGGGTGGCATCGTGGCAAGTTCAATCCTAAAATGCTGGATTTAGATTTTCTGATTTTAAATTTTAAATTCAATTCTTCAGCCCATTTTAATTTTACTGCCAATGCACCCGCTTATGGCCGAAAAGGTCCGCGTGTTGGGGCTCATTTCGCTTTCCTTTATGCTGGCTGCTGGCTTCATCTGTATTCTCATTGCAGCATCTAGAAGTGGGGACTGGACAATGATGATTGTGGCATTGTTGAGCATCTCAATCCCGTTTCCTGGTCGGATAGGGTATATTCTTATGAAAGAGGACTTGAAAAAGGAAGAGGAAGAAGAAGAGGCCGAGGACGAGGACCAAGAAGAAGAGTATATTTCTTCCGGAAATGATAGATGCGCTTCGATCACATCCTCCACAAAAACAGTCATGATCCCTGGTCTGGGGACTCTTTGCCTGCTGTTCACGCCGTTGGACAATATATCTGAAAGGAACTGGGAAATTTGGCTTGGTGCACAGATATTATCACTGGCCCTGATTATTCTCTCACTAGTCGTTCCTCTCTTTTGGTTTCTTGTCTCGACCAGCATTGGGGGCGATGCTGCCCTCCTTTCATCATTAGGTGCTGTCCTGATGATGGGTTCCATCTTATTATACTCTCACATGTACCATAAGAACGAGGACGATCTGGCCTTGTTTCTGAATAACGATTCAGAAGATGAATTTTCAAATGTTGGAGGCGGCACCTGTGAAATCAGCGGTTTATAAACACACTCTCTTTGACCTTAATTTTGATTTTTCCCTTGCCCAATTGATTTCGATTCCGTACTACATGGTATAAAGCTCCGAAATAAAAATGGCATGTGGGGAAAACACAGGCGACATGTGGATGTCTCGCCCAACAGACATCCAATACACACAAATAAAGCGGAAGCTCCAATACGACATATCATTTGATTGCAAATTTTCACACATGCATCTGTAGTGAAAATTGGACACTGCAATTGGCTTGTGAGATGAGACAATGACCTCAAGTGCATGGAGAACGGCTCATGGCTTTTCTAGTTCATCACTTGGTAGCCCCAGTGCGAGTGGTGAATCGCAGCCAATACGATATTTTGTGTGTTGAAGAGGAGGGACAGTGACATCGGTATTTTTAAGTGGCCGGCATTGCACGTTTAAATTTATATTTTTCTTGATGCGCGTTCCGCTCTCCATGCTTTACGTGACGTTTGAAAATTCCGATCGCCTCGGTTATCTGCTGGCCTGGATTAGCGCCCTGCCGACCTTTATTCTCTTCTTCATTGGCGCGATGGTGGTTCTGTATTCAATTTACATCTACATTTTGTATTCAACGGAGAGCGCCAATAAAGTATCGCCGCCACACACTGTCGTTGTCTGGATTTGGTATGAAAATAACCCGTACGTATTTCTGCGCTGGCTTTGTTATATTCTGCTTGGGCAGGTGTTCTGCGAGTTTTTGGCCGTGCTTCTGAAGGACCTGCTAAAGGGCGAGCGTCCATTGGCCTCAGACAGGCACGGCTTTGATTTTGGAAATCCATCAAGCCATACGCAGTTTATCACGTTTTTTGCATACATGTGCCTGAGGCGACTTTATTCCAAAAGGAGGAAAACCCCGACGCTTATAGCAATCTTAGACGCCACTGTGCTGACTGGCCTTGTGCCTCTTGTCGCGCTTTCAAGGATATATCTTGAATACCATTATTTGTACCAAGTTTTCACCGGCTTTTTTGTGGGATTGCTTTTTGCAGCGTGCTGGGATCGTCTTGCTTTTCCCCTCGTTGTTGACAAATAATATGCACAGCGATTTGGAAATAAATTTTACTCGAAAACTTTATGAACGCTGTTGTTGGTCTGCTTGCGCTTAGAAGATTTTCGTCACCGTGTGTGGTTTCGCTCTCGTAACAGTGTAGGATCCGTGCCACTTTTATAATTCCTCTGGATCGAGTTACTGGTGCACCAGCAAGGGAAGTTGCCGTTCAGGGAAACGCAGGCCAAACTCTGCTCTCCCTTGCCCATGAAAACGACGTCGAACTTGAAGGTACGCAGACTTTCCGCCCATTTTGATACTAGGTGCTTGCGATGGCTCTCTTGCTTGCTCCACATGCCATGTGATTTTGGACAAACGGACTTATGATGTGCTCCCTGAAGCCTCTGACGAGGAGAACGACATGTTGGACTTGGCATTTGGGCTTACTGAAACCTCGAGACTGGGCTGTCAGGTTAAGCTTGACCCATCCATTGAAGGTATGGTTGCAAAAATCCCGGCAGCCACTCGCAACATCGCCGTTGACGGGTACAAGCCACCAAAACATTAGACAAAATCTGATGGCCTCTTCCTCCGATTGGCTTAAAAGCATCGGTACCATGCGAATACCTTCCAAGTGCACAAATTATTTGTTGCGCGTGTATTTATTAAACACCATGTTCAGTGCGGACAGCTAGCTTGCGTGCTTACACATAAAGATTTCTTACTCATTGCTTGAGATTTCGGAGGAAAATTTTTGCACGAAAAACTTCATCGTTTCTGTTCGCTCTTTTGCAGCAACAAAGCCGGGGGCTGTTTTGACCAAGCTGTGTAGCTTTAGCAGCTTTTCGTGAAAGTGGTTGATGGACGAGCTGTTTGTGTCTTTTCCCACGTATTCCTCAAAGGTGATCAACTCCTTTGGCTGCTCAGAAGAGTAAAACGGCGTTCCAAAAATGGATCCATATGCAAAGCAACGAGCAATTCCAATTGCGCCCAATGCATCTAGACGATCTGCATCCTGCACGCATGCAAAGGCAAGGGCCAACGGAAGATCATGTAAATTTAGCAGATCAGAAAACGTGTTGGGACTTTCCAACTCTTTCCTAAATGAAATGCCGTTAATGATGAAGAGAATTTTTTCCTGCTCCTCCATACAAACTTGGGGTGAAAGGACGTCCCTGATCATGGATTGCGATTGATCCAAGGAACCAGAATAGTACTTTGGGTCAGCTACGTCATGAAGAAGAGCTGAAAGCTCAACTATGGTCAAGTTAATGTTTACAGGGAATCCTCCCTCACCAACTACGGGGAGCAAAGCCAAATAATTGGGAGATAAAATTTGATCTGCCCTCCAATTGCCCGCAAGCAGTATCCCATTTAGTCTGTTGGCAAGCGCAAGAGCTCTGCTCCTGACGCGCTCAACATGCAACCAATCGTGGGATGGATCATTATGCTGCATCTTTTCCCGGACAAAGAACTCGACTTTTTCTCTAACCGAACCATCCATTATCCAAAGCAAAAATTAAATTTGAAAGTTTATAAAACGACGCTCCACCACGATGATCATTAAACAGACGACAGGATATCGTCCGCCTTATTGAGCGCTTCAATCATTCGCTTGACTTCACGGCGACGCTTAACAATATGCTCGGGTTCTTTCAACAAGTCTTCAGACTGGTCCATCTTGTACAAGTCATTGAGAAGGGTCCGCTGCATTTCATCCATCGAAGAATTGACAAGGTGAAGCATGATTGATTTTGGCACCAAATCCATGACGTTCCGTTTTACAATATTAAAGTAAGAAATAAGGAGCAGTTCTATGGCCATAAGAAATGCTAAACTCACTGATCACCTCGATCTCAATATACTCGCGCTCAGAAAGCGAGCCGGTGGGCTTGAGAACTGCCGGCGGAGCTTCTAGGATCCCCGGTTTTTTCGGTCCCTTCTTTTGCAAGAAGGAGCCAAAGTATGAGTCGGAGTCGAGTGAATTGGCGACACCAATTCCGGCTGCAGTGCTGGAAGAAGAAACAGGGCCAATGGCCGGCGAGGCTCCCGTTGCTGGTGGCTGGGGGCCAGAGGCAGAACGGCGTGAATCCATAGGTGCAGGTTGAGATAGGGCTTTTGGTCCCGATGCTTGGTTTTGCGCGGCGGCAAGGCGCTCGCCAATAATTGCGTTTGCCTGAATCATGAGGCGCAACATTTCATACCTTGTGGCCACTGAGAAAGTCTGGATGTACTGTATTAATATACGAGGACTCTGCAAGGATCAAGCCGCCCACAAACTTTGTTGTCGGATCTGCACACTTTTTTAGGCCCGACATGACGGAGTTGTGGAATTTTTCCCTCAAGTTTGGAAATCTCTTAAAAATCGGCTTCTGGAGCAACTGCAAAAGTATCTTTGAGAGCTCTTCATATACAAGTGCAATGCATCTTGATGCAGGGTCATCTAATCGCTTGATCAATCCTTTAATAAGCGATCCAAATCCGTTAAATGGCACAAAGAGAGAGGGCGAGGACCCAGTGGAATTGTAAAGCAGCGTTCGAATGTCTTGATCTTTGATCTGATCGAATGGATCCATCGAGCGAATAGCATTTGCAAAAATCTCGTGAAAAATAAAGCCAATCCTGGCACCGCCGACCAGCTCGGTGGAGATGGCGTCTGAGGAGGAGCCATCCAACATTGAGCGGTACTCATCGCAAAACTCGGTTATCACAGAAAGAATGGTCGCCTGACCCAATTCAGAGCCGTCGCCAAGTGACGAGAGCTCCGTTTCAAACTTCAAAATGGACGATGAAAGCCCTCTCTTGATGTCTGGAAGGGTGTTGCGAATGTGATTAATTAGCACTAAATTGAGCTTCTTCGCCAAAAAGGGCGTTCCACAGTATGCGCTTTTAGCCTGATATGCAGGGTGGCTTTCAAAAAATCTTCTCTCATTATCCAAGGCAGAGATGATCGTTTTTTTCCCATCAATGTCCTTTTGTCCTCTGTTGATGACCGCCACATATCCTACAAGTAAAGCAATGTGCACATACCCATTTGCAGTGGGATTACTCGCCCAGCAAGAATATCAACGACATCCGTCCCGGGATCCATAAGGTCAACCTTTGTGAGGACGCCGATAGTTCGCGTGCCTTCCGGGTCGACCTCCCGCGCCAGTTTCAAGCCATCTGAGTTTGCCAAATCCGTATTTGCAGCGGTTACTGCTAGGATGATCGCCTTGGGGCTGCGGATGTATTTTATCACCATGTCTCTGATTTGCCGTTCAATATCATGGGGCTGGCCTCCAATAGGAACCTGCATGTGTTAAATCGGATGAAGCTTACCTTTGTCAGACCAGGGAGGTCCACAAGCGTCAGTGTAAGCACATTTGGGGAGAAGATTTTCAAATTTATGGGAATGTCAGAAACGCCTAAATTTATGACGCCGCACTACCTTTTGACTTGTTTCCGCCGGTTTTGGCATCAGTCTCTGTAATAATTTCATCGCGAATTTCATCAAAATTGAAAAGCTTTTTATCGGGAATGTGATTGAAGACGCCCCATTCGTCGGTCGAGCTCGCACCTGGGGACGATATTCCGGAGTCGGCACCTGTTTTTATCAGTTGCAGAATCTAAAGATAACCGCAATCAATATATACAAGAGGGCGACGAGTGACAATTCCCTGTCCTCTGGGCAGAAAATCACGGCCTACAATATTTTCCAGCACGCTGCTTTTGCCGCTGCTCTGACTAAAATAAGAAATAAACTTCCTCATCACCTTCCAATTACAACAATCTGTGGGAGTTCAATTGCATTTGGCATGGAAAGAGAGGCAAATACATCTTGCAGCTTATTGATGACCTTGACAAGTTGATCCATATTTGAGACAGACATGGATGGTCAAGTTGGTAGTAATGGAGGAGGTGATGATGATGTGTTGCGGATGGGAAAGTAAATTTTAATTTTGTAAATTTAATTTTCCGATTCCTCCGTCCTGTGATTTCCCCCACCATGAAACGAGTTGCACAGCTGCTCTATGGCCATGTAAGTGCCGCTGTGTCATCTTAGGTGAAAGACCAGCATCGTGTGCAAACTTGTAATAATTTTCTGACTTTTCTTGGTATGTCTTAAATCCAACTTTCACCCCTTAGACCGTTCACCAAAATCGATTCCCCACTTTCTTCCATATTTAGAAAGCAGAATCAAGTTTTTGGTATTGAAACTGTCTATTAATTTTTAGACGCTGTATGAGGAATGTGTTGTAAACATTCCAAAGGATACCATGGATCATGAGCATCTTGTCAAAACTGCCGCCATGGTGGGTTTAGCTTTGCCAAAGTGTCCATCGAAGGAGCAGCTTAACCAATCATTGGGGGAAATCCCATTAAAGGCCGACCAAAAAAATTCGACGCAGACTATTGAAAATTGAATGGCCTAGCGTTTTCAACGGCTGTGTCGCAGAAATCGAGCGCTCATTATTTACTATTGACAATAAATCGGGAATCCTCTTTTTTTTTCCTAGAGGTAACCGAAAGGTATGCTGCAGGCCCGACGATCGCAGCAAGAGCTAGTCCTTGAGAAAACAATCGCATATGGCAAAAGGCGTTTGTAAAGGGCTCCTTCTTCCTATTTAGCCATAGGCCCATTCCGAGAAAGGACCCGAATGTCAGCATCACTATTTTCGGATAAAATGGATATGAGCGTTACCAAGAGATTCTCTTGAAAGAATGAACCCAAGAGCTTGGTTATAAGGCGAGCTAGCATCATGTGGGGTGCTCTCCAAGCCTTTTTCGTTCTGGATTCCCTTGCCTCCACTTAAATTCTGATCCGAAAGGCGGAAAGTTTTATCTGCCTCCGTATCTTTATCAGATGTTTGTTGAAACCGTTTATATGCCTTTTCCATATATCTTTCTGCCTGGATCACAGATGTGGATACCGCAATGCTAGTGACGAAGATTCCTTTTGCTGGCAGATTAAATCCTCGATAAAATGGGACATACCGATGTCCCAAAATAGAGAAGCCAGTTGCTGCAAAAAAGGCAAGCAGTCCGTCAAGGGCGCCTCTATAATACGCCTCGTCGAGTGCCTGAGAAAGCGGGTGCCGGGATGCCCCTGTAGAAGATTTCAATGACATGGACGTTCAAATCGACGAATTTTCTAAATTAATTGTACGTCCATTTAAGGTTAAATTTTCTGAGCTTTGTAATGTGAAAGATAAATTTTAGTGATTTCAATTAAATTTCAATAGAAACAAACTTGTAAACTGCGAAAACAGGGTGCTAAATTGCATCAAATCTTTTTTTCTCCCTTCGCCGGGAAGCCAGAATTTATGAAATTTCTTAAAACATTCAGCATACAGAGCATCAAAGGGCGAAAGTTCTTGATTTCTAAGCAGGGTTGAATAGAGCCATTCTCTGCACAACCTCTCCTTCTTGATATGGACAATGAGTTGCGATATGGTAATACCAACGAGGGCAAACGGATAGCTAAAAATAAAATTTTCTCAGTACTTGACGGTTTGCGGATTGTTCCCATTTGCCTCAAGTAGCAGCCTTTTCGCATCAGAAGCATAGGCAGACCCAAAGAACCTATTTGTGATCCTTGAGAGGAGATGTCCTACATTAACTGATGAAGTCCCAATGATTTCGTCCCCCTAAAATCTGTTAATGGCGATTCATTTCTCTGGAAGCCAAGATGTGTCCAGGATTTTTCTTTTTCATTTGGAAAATAAGAATTCCAGAGGGAGTCTGTTGCCGGCTTTTCAGGTTCTGTTGACAAAAGGATTTCAAATTTCCTCTCCATCACATCGATCATTGTTGTAATGAGAGACCCCAAGAAATCTACCAATCAGTGACTTTAATAAAACCAAGCCCAGCTTGAGGCGATATTTCAGCCTTCAGGTGACCAACATCCATACATTCTGGTCTATATTTTTGTTGAGAGTTTAGTTCTTTTTGACGAAGAATCTCGGTCTTCAGAGACGATACATTTGGCGTAAGGCCATCTAGAGAAGCCGAAGGAGATTTTGGATCATCTAAAGATGACGCGGATGCACCCAATTCATTTTTATTTGAAAGCGCCGCTGGCGCAGACGAATCGAATGTTTTCTTGGGCCACTTGAATGATACCGAATGCTCAAGCGAAAATTCAAGCGCAAACAACAGGCTTCCCACCGGAAGATCTACGTTGAATTAGACTTAAACTATACCAGTTTTGTTATTATTTACAAGAAATATGATTCTGTGGATTTTCGAGGAGCCTGTGAACACATATGCCAACATGCTGAAGAATCTTCTCAACGCTAGCAGAGATGAACCACATCTGGGGTAGTTTGTGTATTGTTTAATCAGAAAATAATCGAGTTTGAACATAAGAAGAATGATTGCAGATCTTAAAAATAATGGAAAGCGAGAAAAGGGCAGAGAGAGGATTCGGCACATATACGGAGTTGACCAATGCGGTAATGTCATGGCTCAGCAGTCTGAAACCAAAGTGGTGATATTGAAAAATCGAAAATTTACGTGGAATTTTATAAAATTTACGGCATTTACTGCAGCGGCCGTTATATTTATGCAGCCAATTTTGGACATCTTTGAAACGGTTCTCAACCCTGGAATAAACAACACCGTCTACATATTTGTGATAGTCGTTTTTATCCTTCTTTGTGTGTTGCTCTTTTCCCTGTTACTATTTGTGGAATTCAACATACATATTTTGGTGCTTCTAGTCCTGACCATTGGTCTCACCGTTTCCTTCATCTGGTTCGTCCATGCTTGCGGTGCAATCCGGCCGGCCGATAGGCGGCCAGTGTTGGAGATTCTCCAAAATCATCTTAAGGCGTCTGAAAAGCAACACTAGTCTCCAGATAACACGGCGACGATATTAAAAATCAATTAAATTTTAATTACATAGTGGCCATCTCTAATTAAAACTTCGTAAATTCAAAATTTTAAGTATGTCGGAAAGCGCTAATGCCGCAACACCTGCGCATTTCACTGAAGCACTCAAACGCGCGCGAGAAATCGCGTCAAAACTGACAGGGAAAGGCTTGCCTCAATCATCGGCAATTGGTAGCAGCAAAATTTAGGCTCATTATAGATCCAGTCAATAAACGGCCAGCGGAGGGCGATGGCGAGGGTGAAGAATTTTCTTCCTCAAAAAGACCCGGATTCTCGGATCCAGCAATTGCACTGGCAAAGGCTGCATTGGCTTCTGGTCAGGTACTGTCTTCCGATGGCGCCGTAAATGTGTGTGTTGCCCCCAGGGCCCTCAAGACAACAATTGAATTTGTCGTCCCCGGCTTCAAGGTGGGGCTGATCATTGGAAAGAATGGAGAAACCCTCAAAAGGCTTGAGCGGATGAGCGATTGCAAGATAACGTTTTCTCCCCTGACTGCGGCCAATCCTGCCGACATGCCAGAGCGAAAGGTTTTCGTCACGGGACTTCCGGACGACGTTGGCCATTGCAAGCGTCTCGTGCTGGAGAAGATCAACGAGGGCCCGCCCATGGTGATTGCAGCCGGAGCTGCCCCGCCGCCAATGCCACCAGGCTCTGTTGTCCCTGTGCAGCTGCCAAATGGCGTTTCACTGCAAGTTCCAATCCATCGGGACGAAAAAGGAACCATACTGCCGATGGAGCATCTATTCATCCCCAACAATAAGGTCGGACTGATCATTGGAAGGGGCGGTGAGACCATCAAAGATATTCAGGATCGAAGTGAAGCGCGGATATATATCGCGCCTGATGCATCTATGACGCCCGACTTTTCAACTGAGCGCTTCATTGCGGTATCCGGTACCGACGAGGCTATTCTGATTGCGAAACAAATGCTAGAAGATGTATTGGAAGGCCGAACGCCACTCTTAAGCGCTGGCAACTCCGCAGAGATTGGCAAGATTACAATCTCACTGGTGATGCCTGATGAGGTTGTAGGCATGGTCATCGGAAAGAAGGGCGAATACTTCAAGTGGATGATGGCAGAGACGCGCTGCAGGATTACGGTGGACCCACCCGTCTCGGATGGCAGGCCAAACCGCGAAATCACCATCACGGGGCCTCCTGAAGGCGTTGCCTACGCACAAGCGTTAATTCACGACAAAGTCTCTAGCAGTGCACAGCTAGACACTTCAGGGACCACTTACACATTGCTCCCGACTACGACAACACCTTATGCCTCATCAAAGTATCAACAGCACTTTGACCAGGCCGATCCCCAGCCAGTATATACCCAGGAGCAGCTGCAAGCCATTTTGAAGTATTATCTTGACTATTATCTTTCGGCAGGAGTGGAAATGACAATGGCTCACACCGCTGCTCTGTCTGCAATGAGCGCTGCGAACATTCCACTTCCTGCTCTCGAGCAGGACAACGATATGACGAGCCCAAATGCAGTACCGTCTACCGCGGGTGCTGTGTACAGTGAGAATGCTACGCACTATGAAGGAAATAACTGCTCTAGCTCCCCAGAGGCTAGTGTCTTTCCTCCTGAAACTGGTGACAATCATGTCAATGGGGGCGATGTTAAAGATATTGAGAAGGAACACACAAGCGATGGATATCAAAACGGGATCACTCCTGAAACTGATGCAAAGACCCCAGAGGGCTGAGCGCCTCTTGCCCACTACATCATTCCCAACAGTGAAGGTGTTAGCAGCCAGTAATAAATTTTCTCTTAGTGTAAAATCAACAGGCTCTAGTTTGTATTGGGTATTTACGAGCAAGGAAAACTTGAGCTCTGTCTTCTAAGTATCCAATGGTCGACAAAATCGTGTGCAAGTTGGACTGCGGCTCAACTCTGTTTACCTCTCGAAGATCTTTTTTGCTTTCACATTCTCCAATCAAAGTAGAGGTGGCACTGCCCTGAATCGATGGCATATCATTGCTGTTGCAAAAAAAGACTGAATCCATGCGCTTCAGCTTGAGAAAGACGCTTCGTGCGTATTTGTTGCGATATGGTGAATCGGTGCCCTTGACAATCCCAAGCCTAACAAACGTACGGAAAAAGTCAAGAGCCACCATTTCCCAAATCCATGAATCGCCTTTATAGTTCGCCTGTAAAAACTTGGCTAACAAACGGACACGCTTTGACTCTTGGATGCAATAAATCGTAAGGATTTCCTTCTCAACGCTGGGGAGCACACTTCCCAGTTTTAATAATATAAGATAAAGCAGAGACCGCGTCGGCAAATCGTAGGCCGGAGAGGAAGATAACGCACATAGCGACTGGTCAGAAAAACAAAAGGGAAACCATGGCGCTTTCGCCAAGTTAATTGGGCTTTCCGAAAGTTGGACCAATGTTTCTAGCTTTGCTCGTATAATAGCATCCATCCCACAAGTGGTCAAGGGGTTTACCGCTCGCTCGCCCCTTAATGCGTCCATCAGTGCCCGCAATGGCTGTTCAGGATGATCTTCTGAAAAACCAAGATCAATATCGAAGGTTTTATGGTTCGTGTAAAGATTTGAGACACTTGCACATGGTAATACACTTGAAGAGTCTGCATCCGGGGTACAGGCAGGTGCATTGATCTCAAAATTATGAGAAGAGATTCCCGCTTCCCCGGTGATGTTGAGTAGCAGCGAAATCCACTCTGAAAGTAAGGAGAGTGCCCTTCCAGAGCCTATTTTTATTCCCAGGAGACTACGGACAGCATTTTCAGGAAAAATTGGACGGCCCCTAGCCGAGGATTGTTCATCGACAGTGATTTTGCACAGACGCAAAAGCGCTACCAGAACATCCCATGAGATAAAAAATGCGCGTTTCCAAAAAGAGATCTCCTCGCTGAGGTATATTTGGGCCTCTTCAATGGCATTCTTCTCCAACCAGAGAATCACGCCAACAGATGCGAAGAGGGGAGCCCATATGGGGATATCCGGGCAACTACTTTCTCTTTGTAGAAAATATCGAAAAACGAGATCAGGAGCGCAAAAAAGGCTGTGAGAAAGCGTCATTTGGACGACCAATTTTGCTGCCGCTTCGTGTATGGACGCTTTACCCTGAAAATGGGAAGCTTCAAAATACGCAAACGCGGCGCATAGCCGGGCATGCTCCTGCACCTCGATGACCACAGGATCCATAGTAGGATCTCCTAAAGTTGCAGCAGCCAGCGCCATAGAAAGACTGAACCCAGGCGCCATATAAATGGCATGCTGGTCCAAATCTACGATAAACGAGAAATGATAAACTTGCAAGGGCCTGTTGGAACAATCCCACATCAGGGATGACCTTAGCGATATTTTTAGTGGAGCCCAAGTCGACATCACTGCGATTAACTACAGACACCAACCTTCCAAACGTGTCCAGGTCTCGATGCGCTGGATCTTGCTCCACTTGTAAATTTATTATTTCAAATTAAGCCAGCTCATCGCACTCAGCGTCATGGGACCGTTTTTCGCCCAGTGACCACCCGTCCCCGGCAATTATCGCTACGTACATAAGTTTTTGCGCCTGTGCCGCGGCATTTCCTTGATCACCGGTATAATTCCGCTGATCTCCATTTGTGAGGTCATTACGAGAGTCCTCAATAGGGCCAGTAGCTTGAGTACACTCGGTAAAATCAATGCTCGTGTCGGTTTTGTTTCTCTCAAAACGATGGCCCTGTACCTCGATAACGCGATATTTTCCTGGTGGCAACTTGAACGAAATTGATTCGGTGAGCGGAATGGCCTCTGTTCCCTTCAGGATCTGTTCCTCCGCTATCAACAGAGGGCCGGAAAGCGATGTTCCAGGCTTTAGTTGGACTAATATCAAACCATTTGGGGCCTGCAGGAGACAAATCTTGCCACGATCGGCCTCTGCAGTGATGTCAGCATATCGTTTTGAAAAAATGCCGACCCGCAGCTCCTGTAACCGCTCCAGTATGAAAATTTAAATTTTATTTATTGCATTCATTCATCAGCATTAATAAGTTCTCTCATACTAGCGGCGTGAGCGGGGGTAACGCCACTGTCGGCTGACCGCTTGGGGCGCTCGTGGGCATCGTTAACTGACCGCCAAACGTGTCAATGGGCGTCGTTGGCATGTCCGTGCCTCCCATTGGTACGCTCGTAGGTGCATGTTGATATGGTACTTCCTGGGGCGAAATAGGGATCGTTGGCAGAGCTGAGCCACTCAAGTAGATTTGACCTCCTTGTGGGCCCAAAGGTCCGTTTGGAACAGTTGAAGAAACCGGACTGACATCGGGGCATGTGGAGGCCATCACAGAAATTATCTCCGTGATTGGAATAGCCGTCGTGATGGGGATAGTTTCGGTGACTGGGATGCTCTCTGTCAGTAGAACCGTTTGGGAGATGGGGATGCTTACAGGTATCATCGTGGTAGTTGGAACTTCAATGGTCGTTGAAATGGGGACAACCGAAGTCTCTGTGTCCGTTTCCGTCACCGTCACAGAGACTGTTGATGTTTCGAAGAAAACTGAAGTGAAAACAGCGACCGACGTTTTCGTTTCCATTTCGGTGCTTGTGATCGTCTGATAGAATGTTTGTGTCTCTAGGACCGTTTGTGTGGTGTAGCATGAGGATGTGTAGCCCTGTTTCATCGGGTAAGTTTGAAAGGAGTCATTAATGACCTGGGTTGGCTGTGCCTGAGATTGATCTCCCATCGGCTGGATTGGCTGGCTTTGGTACTGGGACTGATAATCTATCGGGTGAGGTTTTGGGAATATCAAACCATTGAAACCGGCATGGGCACTAATGCTAATGACAAGCAGCATGAGCAGTGGAAGGGCCGTAAGAAGCTTCTCTATTTTTGCCATGTGAGGTTTCTCGTGTTGCTCTCCTTTTATAGCCCATCCCAAGCAACTGATTATCACAACGAAAACGGAGTATCCAAAATGGGGCAAAATCCAAATTGGGAAATGTCCAATCACTTGGTGACTCTACTACTATGGCCTTACACCCGGAAAGCTTTTAAAGGACCCCTAAGACAAAACTGATGTGCACCATATTCATCATGTAGCCTCTTTTTATGTGATTGCTTTATCGCGGTATCGTGGCATTTATGTTTCCAAATTTTCCGGTCTGTTTGCTGTAAGGCCATCACACACCGTAAACATCTGCTCTATTTCGGCCCTGGTTGCCTCTCCCGTAGCTTTCCATCTGATTTTGCCTGCCAAATTAAAATGTCACGAGTACCCTCTGAGTCAACCAGAAAGACATAGCCGGGTATCCTATTTCGTACGCCCAACTGGTGGGCCTGGCTCTGCATGCCTCCAAAATAGTTGGTAACAAACGCCTTTGTAAGTGATGGCGAAACTTACTCGCCTTGGTTTTGGGATATCCATGGTTGATAACCAGATCAATGGCCACAGAAGAGCATAGAGGGTATTTTCCACCACGCGCACCTACAATCAGCCATTTTACAAACTTGATAGCAAGCGACACAACTTTGGCGCTTAGTGGCAACAAATGGATTGACAAAGCTGTCCACATGATTTGAGCCCATGGCGCTGAAGGAGATTGCCACAAGAGTTGCTTTCCGTCTATGGCATTCGTCTGGAAGAACAAATGAAGATCGATCGAGTGCGATTGCCCTGATTCTAGGCATTAACGGAGCATCCTTTGATGACAACAATGGCCATTACCTCGGCAGATGCAAAAATCGATGCTTGGAAGAGTTTTCCTTTTGCTCGTTCGAATTCTAACGATGAACAAGGTGCCAGATATACGTCGCAATTGGGAAGCAAACGTATTCGAATATTCTTTTATGATTTCGCTGTTCCGCCGGAATACTTCTGGATTTATCAGCAGCCTCTTGATCCGTGCTATAGGGAGATAAAAATGGCCCCACTAACCAAGAAGGCCCCCCATTGCAAATTGAATTTAAAATTAAAATAAATTCCCTTTCTTTCTTTCTTTCTTCGTTTGTTGCTTCTACCCAGAATTTGCTAATTATTGAACATGTCGAGCCAGGTGTCTGAGGTCTCTCTGGACTTTGAAAAACTGGACGACCTCCTTCGTACGATTCGAAAGGTGAGCCTCGGCTACATCTCATCGGTAGAGCAGAGACGACATCAATCCCYTTGATGAGTCCTCCGGGGTCAAAGTACTCTTTCATCCACCGTCTAATGATATACCACGTAGGGGAGATTTTATCATTTCTAGATCAAAATATTCGTCATGAGCTGGTTAGACTTACACGCCATCTATTGGATAAATTTACAAATCTGATCCAGGGGCTCGGCTCCCCGCCCTGTATCTCTTATTGCGATCTGATAGGAGGGGTATTTTGGTGGCATTTATTCTAGGTCGAGGAACGGGTAAACGAAATGCATTCAATATTCATCAATATCTATCATCTGATCAATCTTCTTAAGCCGCATCAGGTACAACACATACGTGTGTTCTGATTCCCTAGTCGCTGGCCAGCATAAAGCATTCTCTGCAAATTCAAATCAATTAAAAGCAGGCCAGGGTGGACTCTATTCACAGGTACTTTTATTTGCGCTACTTCCAAGGCTATTCGCAGAGTCACAACAACGTCTTTCCGATCTTCAAAGGCATTAGTAAATTGTTTGTAAATTTTTCTACTGGACCATTTATTTTCACTAAGCACGAAAATAGCCAATTAAACGGACAAATAGTTAATACAATTGRCCTTTCCTCCGAGACGAATCTAGTGGGAACGAGATAACTTATATAATTTTATTTTCAAACATTGGGTGCATGCTCATACACAAAGAAATGGGTCACAATCATCAGACTTATAATTCGTGCTATAAAAAATTTTAGTGGCAATATCTACGCTGGCATCGATGGTAACAGGTAGAAGTTCAAGTATAGGCTTATAGAGCACAACGCATGCGGAGAGTATTTCGATATTTTGATTTTTTATCGTGTATCGACCCAACGTCGCTATAAGCTCAATCGTTTCACGTGGCATGTTTGCAACGCTAACAACCACCGATGAAACGTAAAACAAAAAGATAGTGAGCATCAAAACACATAAATTTCTAAACACACGTTGAAATGGCTTTCTCGAAAGCAAGCTCATCAATGAGCCTTTGTCAAAGGCCGGTATTCCACAATTTTTTGATTGTGCATAGCCCAACTGAATACCAAAACTTGGCCATTTTCAAAATCTAGACACCACAAAATTACAATTAAATTTTCCCAAAAAGCAGGTTATAAATGTGGTCGCCCCCTTAAATTTACAAGTCTACATGGTCAGTGTAAGCCCTTATCAATCACAATCGGACTCGTCTGATTCGGATGCACACTCGAACTACATGTCGATCTCTTCGTCTTCAGGAGAAAACGTATCTACATTTAGTGACGACAATGAAGAGTCTGGCGCTTCAGATGTAGAATTGCCTGAAATAGCGCCGTCTACTTTTCGGGGTTTTTTGGGAAGAGCCTCTGAGGTTCTTTTCCCCAATGTTTCTTCTTTTTTTTCTAATGCGAACGAGTCACAAGATGAGGATAATATTCGTCACGAGAGAAGAGGCTTTTCAGCCTTTTCAAACATCAGTGCAACTCTTTCTGATGTTTTTAGACCATTAGCACCTTCTGCTTTGTTTAGCCAAATTTTAAGGGTCTATCCGGGCTCAATGATGCGTCGCTCAGAGTCGCAAAAAACACAGCTTAATACGAGCGGAAAAGGTTTGAGCTTTTTTAATGGCTAGTTATTTTACCCTCGTCTTCGCTCGAAAAGATACTAAGAGAAACCCAAAGAAATGTTTTCTTGCCCTCTTTTGAAGGCGAACATGAAGAGGCTTTTGCTGCAAACAATTCGCCAATGATTTTCAAGATTTCTTCCCAAGATTCCTCAAAGTTTACCTATTGCGGGGTACTTGAATTTACGGCACCCGAAGGAATTGTATATCTCCCAAATTGGGTTAGAATACGGCCGAGTTTTATTTATAGATACTTTCAATACTTGGAGTGTCGTCTGGGGATCTATGCAAAATCGAAAGGGTTGACACAGATGCCGTCCCAACGGGAAAGTTTATCAAAATCCAGCCGCAGAGCGTGGAATTTTTGGGGCTCACGGATCCGAAGGGAGTGTAAGCAGTCCGATATTTACCTTTAATTAGCTTAGAAAACGGCCTTCGAAACTACAACACCTTATCGCCGGGAGACATATTTACCATCGCCTCGGATGGCTTTTCTGGCGAGGAATGCCTCTCATTTGAGGTTTTGGAAGCGCTACCTGGAAACTCTGTTATTAAGATCAATGACACCGATTTAGAGGTTGATTTCGCTCCTCCCGTGGGATGGGAAGAGCCATCCACATCTACACAGCCATATTTGGCGCGAAGCATCTTGGTATGTTTGCTGATGTCATTACCGAATGTTTAGGGTGTAAAGAAACTTGCAGACTTTAAGGTCCAAGGTTGCACCACCGAGCCATATCCTGTGATACTTCCCAAGAATATTCTGTTTTTGGGATGCCGTGCCCAGGTTGCAACATCCCAATAATGTGTATCTATCTTCAATAAATAGCAACTAAATTAAGAGGCATTACTTGCATCTGCTCCCTTTTTTGTTTTACACATCATTTCAGGTGCACAGGTTGGCCTGAAAATCGGTGTTCTGACCATTTATTAGTGCAATTGAACCATTAAAAGACAGATGACACCTGAAGTGAACGCGACTTTGCAAGATTTTCGGACCCGGAAGAATTTGATCTAGGCGCCATTTGAGCAGAATTCATAGCGGGGATCGGGTTCAAAGACGAAAATAGGGCAGAAGCCATTGGGCATGAATTAATGGCTGTTGGCTTAACTGCTGAGGGAGACGATTTGCCCATCATGGTGTTTGGGGAATTTTTTTCCACTGGAATCGCTGAAAACAAAGCAAGTGTGGACACTATTAATGATTTAGGGACATCATCGACATGTGAAAAGATGATTGGAATGAATGCAGTGACAGTCCTAGGTGTTTCACAATTACCAACCAAGAAACCGATCTCATTATCAGGGTTACATTGTTGGAAGGGAAGTGATCCATCAATCAATTGATGTTGAGCGGGCAGTTGAATAATGGTCTTATATGAGCCTTTGACTTTTGTGGCCTTGAGGATGATCTCAGATGTCGTTGCCTGAATTATGGTTGTGATGCCATCGAGGCTATCCACTGGCGAGGTTATTGATGGAAATTCAAGATCCGAGTTTTCAATAGGAAACGATGGCATCTGGGTGTGGTATACTGGGACTTTGCCCAAATTCCTTGTGAGAATGCTTATCGGTTCCGTGTGGAATGCCCATACACCTGTTGTTGGGATTTGGTTCTCCGCAAGCGGGGAAGCAAAGCTGAGGAGTGTTGAAAATGCAATCAATCTGGTGGTTGGTGGAAGCATCTAGATGATTCCAGACGCATTTCTGCTTATATGGTGCATAGCTTTTAGGTCATCGTGCTGTTCGCATCTAATCATCAATGTCCGGATTTAGGATTTCCTAATTGGCTACTGTAAATGAGGGAAAAAGATGTCCAATTTTTTTAATTTGAAGGCCATTTCTCAGCGCAATTTTGGGGCAATGCACGAGAATGCATGCTCCAGGCTTAATATCTGGTAACGGTGGCATTTTGATGCTCAATCCATTAGCATGGTGTCTGATTTTTTTTACCCCAACATTGGGGGCGTGGAGACCCATCTGTACTGTCTCGCCCAGTGCCTAATTGCCCGTGGCCACAAGGTAATAATACCCGTTGGTGTCTAATGACGAGGTAATACTTGCTGATGTTCATTTTTTGATTGTAATCGTGACACATGCATATGGGTCCAGGATTGGGATCAGATACCTTCTAAACGGCCTGAAGACATACTACTTGCCTGGTGCAATTGTTTATAACCAATCTACGCTCCCAACAGTGTTTGCCTTCTTTCCAAGGCTTCGAGCAATTTTTGTTCGCGAGCAGATCAACATTGTGCATGGCCATCAGGTGCGTGTCAACGCTTAGTTTAGGCATTTTCCAACCTGTCTTATGAGGCCATACTGCATGCCAAAACGATGGGGCTCAAGACATGTTTTACGGACCATTCTCTGTTTGGATTTGCAGACACCAGCTCGATTTTAATGAACAAGTGTCTAAAGTTTTCGCTTTCAGATATTGACCATATCATTTGTGTGTCCAATACCAGGTTTGAATGGCTCGTTGACCGTAGCAAGGAGAACACGGTTCTTCGAGCCGCATTGGATCCACACAGGGTTTCTGTAATTCCAAATGCTATCATTCCAGAACATCTGACGCCAGATCCGCACGCATCAGACCCAAATTTTAGTTGAGACCATTTCGCTTTACTTCTTGTTTTTAGTCACCATTGTTATTTTATCTCGTCTTGTATATAGAAAGGGGATGGACTTGCTGCTTGCAATCATCCCTAAGATTTGCACCACCTTTCCATATGTGAAGTTTTTGATCGCCGGAGATGGGCCAAAGAAGATTGATTTGGAACAAATGGTCGAGTGCCACTTTCTGCATGGTAGAGTGCAGCTCCTGGGATCTTTCAAGCACCACCAGGTGAGAGAGGTACGGCTTTCAATCCGTAAAACATAGGTTTTGATCCAAGGAAACATCTTCTTAAATACTTCGCTTACGGAGGCCTTTTGCATTGCCATTTTAGAAGCCGCCTCTTGCGGGTATGTGTTGCAGTGCCATTTATTTCCATAGGCTTTTGGTGGTATCGACAAAGGTTGGTGGAATTCCAGAAGTTCTGCCCTCGCATATGATCCACCTGTGCAAGCCAGAAGTTGACGGTTTGTTTGCTCGCCATTTACTCCATCATAGATTTGCTTTCAGAGCTCTCCAAAGCGATAGCAAAGTTTAGGGAAAACGGCAACAAGCCGCCATTTGATATGCTAAGCTTTCACCGGGAGATAGCCAGATGCTATTCTTGGTCCAACGTTGCCAAAAGGACCGAGATAGTCTATAATCGTTGCCTGTTAGAGAGCGTTTATTCTACCACGCTTATTGAGCGGCTCAGAAGGTTAGATGAATGCAATTGTCCTTCACCACAGATACTATGGATGCGGAAAGTGGTTCGGAAAGATGCTTTGCCTCCTCATTATTTTGGACTACTTCCTTTTGCTTTTGCTAGAATTCCTGATGCCTGCAACGTCGATGGATCTGGTACCGGAGCATCCTAAAAGCACTGCAGTGCAATAAATTTCTCGATAATCAAATGCCTGCAAGCTGTTTTTATGTTATTTATTTTGTCTGCAGTTTTGCCACGTTTGAAGGTCTGCAGACAGGATTTTAACATCCAGTGCGGAGAGGGGAGCATCGTTCTCAATGCCTTTCATAATTACATCAATAGGGTGCCAGTCTGGAGCCCCTTGTGCCAGAGGAGGCGATATCCGAAATGATATGTCCCTAAGTCGCTTTTGTAGTTCCCGCTCTTCCTCGAAGCGTTCCTGAAGCTCGGATTTGTCTCCGGTAAGCTTGTCATAGTCCTTGGAGGGCGTACAGCTAGAAAAAACAGAAAAAGAAAATTACTTGGCGCAATACGTATCGACATGCTTGATCATTTCAAGCGATATTTTGGTGGAGAAAATGTTGCGTTCAGCTAAAAGCCGGCACAACTAGACCGATTAATAAGGGAACGTAGAAAGCGCGTATTGTCTGTTGCAAAGACACCGGTGTTAATGTGTCGAAAGAAGGGCATGCTGTAAATGATTACCTTGGTTAGATACTCGATGTGATAGTCGAGATGTCTGCGCGGATGGAACAGAATACCAAGGATGGCCGGCATCTTTAGCTCCATTGCATCTCGATATCCAGGCCATCCATTTACAAGCGAAGAAATAACGATAAATTCAAGCAGAATGTACAAATTCTTTACAGCCAGAGACGAGCTGGGTCCAGACTAAGAAAATAGAGCATCATCCACCTATCCGCTTACCTCTCTCAGCTCCGAAAATAGGACGTCAAAAAGCTCTGTGTGAATGGAATAGTGTGAAAGTGCATACGCCAGTGCCTGTGACATTGTTTTTTTGCTGGTAAGAAGCGGTGAGAGCAGTTGCGAAAACTCCACTCTACACTCAAAAACGTCTTCGGTCATTGCAAATAAATTCCGGTCCGTTGAAACGAGCTTTGTGGGGCTGGTATGAAATTTTATTCCCAACCCTAATTACATGGTTTGCCGTCGAGTTTGCCTGCAAATTATTGAATTGGACAACTTCCGGTCTAAAACGTCACCTAATGTCACTGGATGTCCTGGTGCTTGGAGCTGGACAGGATGTCGGGAAAAGTTGCATTGTAGTCAGAGTTGACAACAAATACACTCTGATGTTTGATTGCGGTATACATATGAAATACACCGATTCACGAAGATTCCCCGACTTTTCTCTGCTTTCAAAGCATTCGCTGAAGATCGATTTTTTGTTCATTTCTCATTTGTAATTTTGCGCTATTTCTAACTCCCTCCCAGCCATCTTGATCATTGCGGGGCTCTTCCCTATTTTACTGAAAAGCTTGGATACGCCGTTCCCGTAATTATGACGGTACCGATTTTCTCTTATTTCAGCGACCAACAAAGGCCATAGCACCGCTGTTGCTAGAGGATTGCAGAAAGCTGATTGAAAAGGACGAGGAGCATTCGTATTCGTCTGAGATGATTTGGAATTGCATCAACAAAGGTTCGGCTTGATCTTTTCCCAATAGTAATTGTCTTGAATCTCAATGAAACTTTGCCGCTTGCCGAAGATCTTTATGTTCGCACATACTATGCCGGGCATGTAAGTGCACTTGTTTTTACAAACTTTGAAAGGTCCTCGGCGCTGTCATGTTTCACATACACACCGGCACGTCTTCCGTCGTTTATACCGGCGATTTCAATAGCATCGCCGATAGACACCTTGGTGCGGCATTCATCGATCGATTGCATCCCGATTTGATGATCACAGAATCCACTTACTCCACGCTTCTTCGAGATACACGCCGATCAAGGGAACGCGACTTTTTGTTTAAAATCCACCAGGTAATTAATTGATGATGTCCTATCAAGTAAAGGCTTTAAACAGAGGAGGCAAAGTTCTCATTCCAGTTTTTGCGCTTGGTCGTGCGCAAGAGCTTTGCCTTGTGGTGGAATCGTATTGGGAAAGAATGGGGCTCCAATCTATTCCAGTTTTTTTCAATGCTGGTCTTACAGAGAGGGCAAATGCAATTTATCGGATCTTTCCAGAATGGATGCAATCAGAGGGTATGGGGAACCCATTCGATTTCAAGTTTATTCGTCCCTTTGACATGCAGTTTGCCGAGCTAGAGGGCCCCATGCTCCTCTTTGCATCTCCGGGATCTCTTCAGTCAGGTATGCAGACTGTCCTTTTAACCATACAGGAGCCTCCTATGAGGTATTTAAAAAATGGGCTTCAGATGAACGGAATTTGGTGCTGCTTCCCGGCTATGCACAGCCAGGCTCAATTGCGGCCCAATTGCTTTCTGGGTCTAAATTGGTAGCTTTATGGTGGCCTTCATGCATGTAGATTAAACTGCCAGATGGTGAAAGTCAGCTTTCGGTCAACATCCAGGTGCAGAATCTTTCGTTTTCTCTGCATGCCGATGGAAAAGGCATTCTGTCTCTGATAAAACAATGCCAGCCAAGCAGGGTTATGTTGGTACATGGCGGCCGCAATGGAATGTACGCCACGTGTTCTTACTTTTTTCAACAGGGAAATTTTGCAAAAGCAAATCGAGTTGGAGCTCAATATTCCAACGATATTTCCACCAACAGGTTTTTGCACGGCCATCATCATAGGTTCATATTTGCACTTAGATGCCAATACATTGCAACGTGCATCTCCGTTTGCTGCCGTTAGAGACATTGCTTTACAAGCCCGAAACATGGCCATCTCCCCTCGTAAGATGCAATTTACTTTTACATGTAGCGGCTGTTAATCTTCTCGACTCTCTATGGAGATTACATGGACCCCAAGCTGAAATTGTAGGCCTATTTTGACGTTCTTTCTTCTTAGACAGATGTCATATATCACTCTGACGTTGGCGATGAATCTTGTCTAGTGTTGGGGAATGATCATTGCCCAGAATTCGACTAGGTTCTATTTGGATGCACTTGTTGCCTGTTAGCTTTTAAATTAAATGATGAATATCCTCTTTTGGATATACGCTTACGTGCCCTTGGCTCCTTTAGTTGAGCCACTGCGGATATGTGTAGGTTTGCCGGCCCAAATACGGAGTGAGATAAACTTTATTAAGCTGATGAAGATGAAGAGAGTCGAAATTGGGGTTGGCTTCCAGTACCAGAACCCTTTCCTGGGTACTTGCGTGTGTTTTTGTGGCCTTTTGAAGGGGTCTTCTGATAGTAGGAGGGTTTTGTGCTATAAGCTACAGTCCCAAATGTTTCTACGTTCAAACGGATGTCTTTCCTAGCCGACGATTTATTTGCTGAACCACCAGTGGACGATAAATCGGTAGATGTAAGCGAATCGAAAAAAGATGCATTCGAGTCATAGCATGTAGATTGCATTTGGGGCTCAGGAAGCCCATCTTTTGCGAGAATATTTTCAAATCGACGGTTTGCGCGATCCATATCGAATTCTCGAGGGAACCCAGCTTTTCTCTCTCTTGGTACCCTTTTATTTTCATGGACCTTTGGGGTCGTCACAGGATGTGGTTTTGCATGCTGCATAGGTGGGGGGTTTGAAGTGCCCGTGGAAGAAGAAAATGGCCGAATGTCATTTCCTTCTGTCTTTTGGCCTATGGGCTCGTATGTCCTTGCTGGCTTTAATTCGCTAGCCTTGGACAAAGGCGCTGGATCAATAATGGTAACCGAAGATGTTGAGGTGCTCAGCAGTTTTTGATTAGACTCCTCGGTCGATAGAGGGACTACAGTTGCTGTCTTGCCGATTGGCTTTTCTTTTCTTTCAATCGATGGCGAAACGCTCGATTTGTTGCTTGCTTGTGTAGTTACATTTGATGCCTTTGTCGACTCTGCTGAGAAGTGGCTAATTTTGGTCATCGTTGGCATCGTTGAAATCATGGGTTTGTCCTTTTCAGTTGGGTTAGAGATAGCTGCCTTCGTGCCAGGACCGGCTTTATTGCCAGTGGCATCATTGCTACCTCCCGAGCCAGGGCGACTTGGGGTTGACGACGATGACAGGATGGCTGGATCCACCACCGGGCTAGCGTTGATAATTTTTAGCTCGATAATGTCGGAGGCGCGAAAAACAATCATCTCGTAAATGGTTGGGGATGGTGCTATTTCGCGAATACCGTTGTTTCTGCCCTCCGTTCCCAGGCATTTAACTAGAAATAAATTTACTCAAACCAAGAAAGCAATATTTGAATGCAATCTGCCATACTAACCCTGTTCTATGGATACGGAGCATGCTTCATGGTCTAGCGCAAATAGAATACCCTCGTATCGAATTTGGGACTTGGTTATAAGGCTGATGCGAGAGCCAATGTACTTGGCAGCCGTGGACATCTTAAAATTAAAATTTGAAACACAGAAATGATTTGATTTCAAGTTGCCAAAATCGGGTTCTAGCTGAAATTATGCTAGGAAAAATCGGGTTCTAGCTGAAATTATATTGGAAAAAATCACGATAAATGCAGCACGCAAGCGAGGGACTCGGACGCAGGCTACCAAAGGCCGGGAGGGAGGCGGGCACGCAAAATATATATCAGGGCAGTAGCGATAAGACGGGGCCGATAAAAATTCCTATGGAAAAATTGAGATGCTACGGAAAGGGGGTGAAAAGCGCAACTAGAGATGGAGGCATCTCGTCATCATTGAGCTCAAGTTTTATTATCAAATATTAAGCTTTGGTAATGAGAGTCATATGGCATTTTCCGCAATATTGACGCTCTTCGTGCTTGGCCATAAAGATAGCAGATCCACAGGACTCATTGGGACATTCACGGCGGGAGCGAACAATGCGGTTGTTGGCATCGACTTGATAGTACTTGAGGATAGAAAGGGCAACCTTCTTTCTCTTGTGCTTGATTTTCTTTGGAGTGGTGTAGTTCTTCTTCTTCTTCTTTTTGCCACCACCACGGAGTCGGAGTACAAGATGAAGAGTAGACTCCTTCTGGATATTGTAGTCGGAAAGTGTACGTCCATCCTCAAGCTGCTTTCCGGCAAAAATCAGGCGCTGCTGATCGGGGGGGATTCCCTCCTTATCTTGAATCTTGGCCTTGACATTCTCAATGGTGTCACTGGATTCTACCTCGAGAGTGATGGTCTTTCCTGTAAGGGTCTTAACAAAGATTTGCATCTTGACTTGAAAAAAAAAATTCTCCACACCATACATGGGTTGCAAGGTGTGATTCCGTTTAAAATTAAGTTTAAAGTTTACAATTTGTATTAGGTAGAGTTAGGGTYGGATCAGAGGCCTTCTCTTTCTCTCCATTTCGGCCTCTTTTTCCTTCTCGATTGACTGGATAATCGATTCGATGGTTGCAGCGGAAAGAAAGGCGATGGATGGTTCTTTTGTAAGAATAGCTACATCGATCGAAGATGCACCTGTTTGCACAACCTCGAGTAAAGAGCGAATAGCCAAGTGGGCTGTGGAGGAATGAGATATTGTTTCTTCTGCACCTTCGGCGTTCTCCATATTTTCCATCATTTTGTCGTAGTTTTTTTCTAGAAATTCTTTTACGGTGGAAGAATTTTTTCCAACAGCATTTGCTGTCCATTCTGTGTGCGTTCCAGATGGCTCTGTCAAATACAAACGCGGAGTACCATCGGGATCAATGCCAACCAGCAGGCCGGACACGCCAAATGGACGGGCGCCTCCTCGCTGCGTATATTTCTACCGTTAGTGGCTCATTTTACTTGTTGCAGAGAGGATATGTACCGGGCAACATACTCTACCGTTGGCGGATCCTCGAATGTCAATCTGTGGCTCTGGCACTCAACACGAGCATGGTCAACCAAAACACGGGCATCTGCGTTCAATCCTACGTTGAGCATTGGATTAATTTATAGCGGCAATACCGGCAAATGTGAAGAAAATGTGACTATCCAAAGAATAGATTTTTCGAATTGTTCTCGGATCTTGCAATTTGTGTGCAGACTTCTTCTCCACTGCGATTGCTAGCGAATCTGCGCCGCGAACAGCAACCTAGACATGGGTAACGAAATAGAAAATACTGCAGTTGATCCCTTGTTGACAGCCTCCATGGCATATTCGACCTGGAATAAATGTCCATCGGGAGAGAAAATAGTCAGTGCTCGATCATAACTCATGATGCAATTAATAAATTGAATAAGAATTTTGATTTTAAATTTCAAATTCCATTTCAAATGCAAGCAACATCCCTGGATGCCTTTCTCTCCTCCGTGGACAATCCAAGTGCATGGCGGACCATTGCTCCAGATGGCGAGCCCCTCACTCGGGAAGAGCTGGAGATCATAACCGCGCTTTTTGAGGGAACCACGGCCGATATACATTTCGATCCCTTTGCCCCATCCATAGATTTTTTTACCGGCACCGTTCAGCATGTGCCAGTTGCGTTGAATACGAACCCGCCCAAAAGAGGCTTTTTGCCCTCTGCACATGAAGCCAAAAAAGTCAAGAAACTTGTGCATGCAATCCGACAGGGATGGATCAAGCGACAGCCAGAGGAGTGCACGGAAACTGATGTGTTTTTCGACTTGTGGTCGTCCTCTGTGTCTGATTCGCCATCCATCCATTCCCATATTGCTGCACCTAAAATCACTTTGCCAGGGCATCGCGAGTCTTATAGGCCGTTGCCAGAGTACCTTGCCACGTCTTCCGTCAAAGAGCATTTTGAAAAATCGGTTGCCTCTGGAAAGCCTTCTCGAAAATGGATTCCTACCAGGTAAGATTTTGTTGCTTATTTTCAGCTACTCTTCATTGAGACACGTCCCGGGATACCCATATGCAATGCAAGAACGATTTTCCCGCTGCCTTGATTTATATCTTTGCCCAAGAGCAAAGAAGTCCCGTTTGAATATTGACCCTGAAAGCATGCTTCCTAAGCTTCCAGAGCTTTCTGATCTCCGTCCATATCCAAATGTGCTTGGTTTGAAGCTTGATGCTACAACTTACCCGACTTCTTCACCCATCACTTCGATGGCAATTGACGCAACAGGCCATTGGCTTCTTGCAGGCTTTGCGGATGGTTCGTTGACCCTTTCGGACGTGATTTTTGGAAAAACATATGCCAAATGGCTGATAAGCGAGGGCGAAGATCCGGTTTCTTCAATTGCATGGAATCCAACAGCCCAGTTGGGTTCTCTTGCTGCTATTTCCTGCGGATCAAAATTAATTCTTTTGAATCTGTTTATTGGGTCTTCTGTTCAGCAATCGCTGATTGGAAATTTGTTCAATGCGTTGCAAAAGAACGAATCTTGGATTCAGAAAAGACTCATTTCTTTGGGAAAGGAAATTCCTTTAGAGGTCGTTTCGTTCGCCATCAATTCGCATGCGATCACACGGCTTGCCTGGCATCGGAAAGGAGACTACTTGGCCTCAGTGGCACCAAAGGGTACCCCCTTATCATTTGCTTAGCTAATTTTTAGCCAACAACAGTGCCATTATCATCCACCAGCTTTCAAAAGCCAGCTTCCAGCTTCCATTTAAAAAAATTGATGGAACTGCTGTCGATGCGGCCTTCCATCCAACAAAACCATACTTTTTCTTGGTTACCCAACGGGCAATCAGGTCCTATGATCTTTCTAAACAGCTTGTACAAAAGAGAATTGATATGAAGGGGCTTCAAAACGTCTCTTGCATGAGCGTACACCCGCATGGCGAACATGTGATCGTTGGCTCCCTTGACTGCCGTGTCTCTTGGTTTGACATGGAACTCTCCAATGCTTACAAGACGCTCAGGTAGCATTTTCATTGCGTTACTTGCATAGATATCACAAGGATGGGGTCCGTGCGCTTTCATACCACCAAAAATACCCGCTCTTTGCCAGCTGCAGCGACGACGGAAATGCACACATTTGCTATGCAAAGGTATTTGACGATTCTTCGCTTCAAAATCCCCTTGTGGTGCCTGTCAAGATTTTGAAGCCCGTCACGCCACTGGGAAAGTCGGTCGCCCTCAATTCACTTGCATTCCATCCGTCTTTTCCTTGGATATATCTTGGCTCGAATGATGGCTCGATGCAGATGTATCTCCCCACTATTTATTAATTAATTAATTAAATCCGAGATTATTTGTGCGATGATTCATACTTTAAATTTAGAGACTTAAATGTAAAAAAGTTATTTTTAACTGTTAATTCTGGGGCCCTAATTAAGATCATATTCATCGGTTTGGCAGTAAATGTCAAGTTTCCATAATCTTAAGGGAATCTCCGTGATGGATCAACATCTCAATTCGATTCCCACAATCGAATCCGCTCACATGGATACAGCTTCCATGTCCAAATACGATGAGCTTGAACGCAGAGCCACCGCCACACTTTTCGGATCCGGCCTCAACTTGATCAAAATCACCATCGGGGCTGCTATCATCAGTCTACCGTGCATAATTTTCTCGTTTGGATATCTTTTGGGCCCGTTGATTTTGCTGATCGCCGCAATAGCATCCTTCACCGGTCTTTACCTTTATTTGGAATGTGCCTCGTATATTGGACGCACTTCGTCGCCGTCTTCGCTCGCAGAATCGACACTTCCTTTGGCAGGGCATATATTGGATATCTGCATCGTGACAAAAGCCATCGGCGTTTCCCTATCCTATGTGATGATTATTGGATCAACATGTAGCAAGGTCGCAATGTGGGGGCTTCATCTTTCCGAGGGGCATGTTCTGGCAGATGCTAGGATATGGATGCTATTTATGGGCACATTTATCCTGTTCCCCCTTTCTATGTTGAAGACCTCCAAGAGACTTCAATTTACATCGGCGTTTGGAATCGCGGCAACCATTTACTTGGTCCTTCTTTCGGTGTATGGAATTTGGGCGCTTCCGCCACCGAGCGGAAATTCTGCCTCCATCTGGGCGTTATTTGACAAGCTTTCTTGGGCATATCCGATCACCCTTAAGAACATCGGCTTTTTTGGGACAGCCGTTTTTGCTTTTTCTTGCCACCAAATTATATTCACCCTATTTAATGAAACGAAAAACAACAAGGTCTCCTCAATGGCAACCATGTGTGGAGTCGCAATCGGCGTGGCCCTGAGTTTGTATCTTGTTTTTTCGTTCAGCTCGTTGTATTCGTTTTTCGACAAGTTTAACACAGAGCCAGGAACCCTACTCACATGGTATCCCGTCGATTCGATCCCATACCAACTTGCCCGGATTTTCTACGCTACGTTGATTTCTTTCTCATATCCGCTGCAGGTGCTTCCATATCGAGCTTCTGCTATAAAGCTAATGTCCCTTTTGACAACGAGAGAAAGAAATGAGTTTGTCACCAGGCTTTGTCTGACTCTTTTTTTTTGCTGATGACGGTGGGAACTGCGCTGCTCCAGCCGTCATTTATTGTTGTTCTAAGTTTTGTTGGAGCATTCTCGTCGTCTGTCATTTGCTACATCCTTCCCGCCACATTCTACTTGATGATGACGCGTAGCGGAAAGGTCACGCCAAAAACGCCGCTACGCATTATTGCGGGCATATTGGGTGTATTTGGCATTCTGGTTTTCCTTCTTTGCTCGTTTTCCTCGGTCATTCTGTTACTTTCTTAGAAATATATAAAAACATATGTATCCGATATTTTATTTTACATCCTATTTTAAAGCTACCTACATTTTGTAACACAAGTTACCGGATTTCATACGTGACCGCATTTCAAGGTTTAGTTTTGTTCCAAGACGTCAAGCGTGGTCCCGAATCTCTTACCGATATGAATGTCTGTATTAAGAAGGGTATGTGTGTATCGATTGCTATGCCATTTATTTGCCACATACCAGCGCTACTATTGGTAGATGCCTTGATAAATAAATTGCTTTCCAAATTATAGAGTTTACAGAGCCATAAATAAACCCCAATTCTCAAATGTCATGATTCGATGAAATAATTAAATTTTGATCTTCTAATTAGAATAATTCGCACCAATCAATGCAATTGCATGGGTCTTTATGTAAGGCCTGTTTTCAAGAATTTTCAAGTTGCATTCTAACATGAATCCTCGACAGTTATTCTCATCCAACATCAATCTTCGAAACTTATTCCCATCCAACATGGATCCTCGAAAGTTATTCCCATTCAACATGAATCCTCGAAAGCTATTCGCATCCAAGAGGTCACTGATCATCACCTCGGTTTCCGCCATTTTGGTCATTTTGCTTATTGTTGGCATTGTAGTTTTCTCCCTTGGAAGGAAAAAAGCTCCAGACGCAGACATGCTAACCCAAAAATCTAGTATCACCAATAATACCGAATCTAGCACTTCAGCAACCATCAAACCCAAGGTATTTAATTCAGAAGATATGTCATCAATCAGCGCGCATGAAGCGTTAGCGGGCAAAAGCCGTATAAAAGGTATGCCTATAATCACCGGGGTTCTTATCGGGTTGACTCTCATGGGGTTGTTTATTTTACATACCCTCTTTGGCTTTTCCGGAATTTTCAAGTTGCCTAGTGTTTTCGGGCTATCATCTGGTATTAGCGCAGCACCCAGAAACTCGATTCTTTCATTTGTTTATGTGATTTTTGGAACGATTTTCAGAATAATTAAACACCCTTTTTTCGTTACGATTTCGATTTTGCTGATTTTGGTTATCTATTTCTTCTGGGATAATATAAAAGGTAATTGATTTGTAGGTTTTAATGCTTTAGTATATATTTGGCCCTGGGTATTTTACTTTTCCGAAGTGATTTCTGAAGTTTCTCAGCGTTTTAATGAGATAAATATGGGTAGCATGCAAAATAATAATGACCACGCGATTTTTTATACTCTTGACTCGTGATCCCGCAAAAAGGCCTAAATCAAAAGGCGTCAATTTAACTATCAATAAGAATCTAAAAAGGCATTTAGAGCCCCAATTTTGCATTCCTTTTGCAAAAATATAAAATCCAATAAACATTACATTACGAATCGCAAATGTGGGCAAGCTGTCGAATGGCTAGGGTTATGGTTAGTAGTTATGTGTGCAGACCGCACTGCTTTTATCCCGATTTTGCTTGGACTGCATGTCTCTGTCAGCTCGAAGGGAATGCCTGAGGGGACTCCTCGCACAAATTCTTGAGGAATGCAGCATGAACACTGCAAAAATATCGGATGAAATTGCAGAGCTTAGGCCAAGACTAATTTCGCTTGAACGGATCAGATGGAACATATTTACTCAGCCCTCAATTAAGAGCCTCTGCTCCTTGTATCAAATTGAGCATTGCGGCTCCATCATCAAAGTAGCAAATCTTTTCATTCCCGAAGATGGGGACATTTACAGTAAGTCACCCCATTTTATATTTGCAGGGCTACCATACGAACAGACCAATGCCCTGCTCTCAATTTTTTTGACCATTCTTGACGTTTTCCACAAGAGGATCCTTTCACCACCACCACCCTCTTCAGCATCTTTTCACGATAATTCCTCTTCTCGCCTTCCATGTCCGATTGTAAGAATGCCTGGCGCCTCCCCTGCAATCCAGATTGGACAAAAGTCAATCAATAGTACGGAGACTACGAGTGATATTCTGATCACGCCAGCGATACCAGAGTTACCTGTCAACAAAGTCCAAAAAATTAGCGAAGTAGAAAGAAATAACTGGATCATGGCCCTCGCTGCCATTTCATTTAATGCCATCTGGCTCGCCTCCAAAATATGGAAGCGCGTCACCGAGCGCTGCAATTGGAGCCCACGCCAAAATCCAGCCTCCATTTCTGAAAATCTGATCATCCCCAGGGCTATTGCCAAATTTTTTGTCATGATTTCGATCATTGAAAAGGGCGAATTGTCCGTCAATGCTCAGGATCAATCATCTGTCAATGCTCAGGATCAATCATCTGTCAATGCTCAGGATCAATCATCTGTCAATGCTGAAGATGAACAGCCTGCATACATTTCTGATCTTCTTGAATTTATGTATAGCTCTGGTATGGTTGAGGCCTTTTCCCATCTTTCGTCCTTTACTAAATTCTTTGATGAAATCGAATATTTCTGGGAGCGACATGCCAAAGAATAACACGCCTCTAGTGCCGCCAGGCACCAACATCCTTTGTCCTAACGTCACTTGGATAGCTTATTTTCTGGCCACAAATGTCATGCCACTATGGTACGTAAATAATAAAAATTCGGTTTCCATTGCCTGAAACCCCGAATTTAAATGGCCGGATGGGATTGTTGGATTAAATGGAGGGGGGGGGTCGCTTTGGGTGTGATTTTGCAGACTTTACTTCATTACTCAGCCAATGGCCCTGATGAAAAAAATGACAAAGAAAAATAAAAGTGTACAAATTATCAAGACAATCCAGACATAAAATGTTCCATATCGAGTCTGCTCGTTGAAAGCCTTAATTAGGGTTTCTTCCTTTGAGACGCTCGAGATGCGGCTCTCTATGTGGAACTCTGATTTCTTTAGCCGGTCGAGATCGTCTTTTATTACCTTCTGAGTTCGATGCATGGTGTTGAGAAGCGAGTCCGAAAGCTCTACCAGCCGTCGATGGATGGCCGACTTGTCTCCAGGAGGGACACGAGCTGACATGGCAAGCAAGATACAATTGGAATTAAACAGATCTTCCAACCCTAAATTTAATAAATTAAGTCAGACTCAAAAGAAATAATTTACTGGTGCGGCTACTCGTTTTGCGGCATCATCGAACCGAGTTCTGCAAAATGTACGCTCCGAACGCTACCCTGGCTGTATTAATCGGGGCTCCGGCCGGCCGGGATGGTATAGTGTACCTCAATAAATGTAACCCTAATTTAATTTTATAAACTTTCAATTCAGTCTATGCACGAGCGCCCCAGGAGCTCGTGCAACAACAAGAGGCTGCCCACAGTTGAGACAAATTCCAGTCCCAGATGGGACACCATATTTCCAATCTCACCTCTTTTGTTCTTGCGCAAATTCACTTCTTCCTCTCCTTACGACCTTATCGTGGAGGAGCTGGAAGAACTGACGCGTGCAAATGCAGCTCATTCTGTAACGCAATGTCTTGGGAAACCCGCAACAAAAGTGCCTGCTGCTGCAAAGAAAAATTTTCTGAAAAACATGACGAGCGATTTTCAAAAGGCACATCGCAACCTCCATATCTCATCAGAGCTTCTTGCTTCATTTCTTGAGGAGGAAAATATTTTCGGAAAGACAGTTACATTGCCTCTTGTAGCCGATGGGCCAACTACAGAGCCTCTATTTCCGCCAGAAACAAAGGAATTACCGTTACCAGAGACAAGTATGCTTCCACCGCCTTGCTATTCGATATTTTCAAAGCATACCATTAGAGCCGTCGTAATGGAGACTGCTTTCAAGGACTTTGCCAATCATCAAGATCTTTCTCTTCAATTTCTGCTTGTGATTAAGGGAACATCAAATACCGAGCTATGGGCACTTCGAGCGGAGCATGTTGGTCCTGTGGTCGACCGCATCTCCAAGAGGCCCTTCTCCCTAATCGATCCTCTTCTGATCCCTCGAGTTTCGTTTATGGAGGGATCTTCACAAACTAACATGCACTCGGAAAAATCGACGCTCTTGTGGAAAGAAACTGCCCAACCCATCATGGAAATATCCCGGGCACCGTCAACTTGCAGTGTTCCGGTTTTGGGAATCAGGACATCTTATTCTGTCCAAATTTTCAGCATTCCTACAAAGATTTCAAAGTGGAATTCACTGTTGTGGTGGAGCAATAATGGGAGGATCACCCCAGATGTTATCAATGAGTACATTGCGATAAAGATGCAAAAGGACCCACGATGTTCGTTGCTCTCATTGAAGATTTCGCCTAGAGTGAAGGGAGATTTTGCTGTTCTTTGCTCAGATCTGACTATTATTGAATGGAGCGTAGGGGATGGCGGTGATAAGAGCAGGCTTCACTCGTACGATCTTTGTCATCTCGTTGTAAATAAAAAGGAAACGGAATTGATTCCCATCATCTTCGAATACTCCCTTCAAGAGGGTAGATTTTGGATTGCCATTGGAGAGTGTTTCCTTTTGCTTAAATGCGATCAGCAAGCCGAAGTGATCGGGAAGATTTCTGAAGGCGTGCCTTTCCTCTTTCTCCCGCCACTGGGAGAGGTTATCAGAGGCGATACTGATGCCACAGCGGGAGCATCAAGTGTCCCTGGAATCCTCTCCATCAGCAATGAAAAGGTTTTCGTTGACCAACTGGTCTCTTTTCCGACTTTTTCCGAATGGAGGACCACTCATTGCTGGAGCCTCGATTATCTTACGGGCACGAGCCATGAGCATCGCCATACCAGTGTTCGATTGTTCCACTTGAGCGTTGATTTTTTCGGTATTGTCATTTGGGATAAAGCTTCACAAGAAATACAACTGGCCATTCTTCCAACAACGGAATTTTCTTCTGCCCCTAGCAAGGTCGCAATCCGCATTCCAGCTGTAAAGAGCGGCGTCGGTTGGGGGTTTCGCAACGGTTCCGCGGTTAGCACAGCTCTTCCTGTGTGTTTCACAACCACCCAGAGGAATGCCTTTCTAGTTGACGTCGCTCCGCTATGTTTCCCGGGCAATGGGTATGTTGATGTCCATTTTCTACAATACTATTCGGATCACGAAATTTACCTGATCTCATACCGCTGGCTGTCCCATACAAATTCATCTAGCATTTCGCTACCAACCCCCTTTCCCGGAGCGTCATTTGAGGATTTACAGCGGTCTTTGTCAGCTGTCCCCAGATATACTTTCGAGCTTCCGTTTGAAGGTTTCAAGCAATGGTCATATCGTTCCGCCTTTAAAGTCGGGCTTTCCAAAAGCAACTTTCGAAAGAAACACACAGTTGTCGGCATCTTTTCGTGGTTCAAGTTGTTTCTTTTATTGACTTTGGGAGGTAACTTTACAGGTGATCAGTCATATGGAACAAGCCTACATTCGTTTCAGGACGACATGCCTAGAGAGGATTTTGTTGAATTCATCAAGAGCGACCTTGTGGCTATCCTTCAGGATCTTGGTACCTCCAAATCAAGCCCCATCTCTGATACCTCAGAAACGATGGTTGAAAGCTCAAGAAAGCCATTCATTGCATGCTGCTCCCTGAACGAACTACGACAGCGTGTCATGCGGAGCCAGCTAAAGCGGATTTCACGCCCGCAAAAGAGGTGCACTTTTTATCTCCTCTACTCGCTGCTTGACGAGGTATGGCCCCAACTTTTGAGTCTCATCCGTCAGTTTCGGGAAATTACAAGCCGCAATGATCCAATTATCAAATTCAAGCTGTCTCATATTGCATACTTACTGACCGAACACCAAACCAAGCAGCAATCCGCTGCCGATAAAGATGGCGATTTGCATGCAATGCGAAGGGCCTTTTTGAAGCTTGTTGGGCTTCCTGACACCATTAGCCTCACCCCAACATTTGAAGGCTGTAAAGACCGCACTAGTAGTGCTATTTCCCTTGCAGCAGTCACAGATTCGTTGTTCTTTTCTCTCTCAGAGATCACTCGCAAGGAATTTTCCCAATCTGCTGACAGAAGCGCTCTTAGTTTGGAACTTTCTGAAACCGAGAAGCTAAAGATGCATTGTGAAGAAAAATTAGCAATGGGGACGACCATACAGACAGAGCTAAGTGATCTATGGGAGCACCAGATGCTTCGGACAGTGGCGGAAAGGGAAATTCCTGACGATCCAAACCTGCTCAAGATCAGAAATATCTTTCGGCGACAAGATCTTTTTTGCTTTTCACAGACTTCCAAAGAACCATCAAGCCAAAGCCTGACAACGCAGCAAGATCCACTGTTGCAGAACTTGATTTTTTCTTCACAGGAAAGTTACGCGTCTTCACAGTTGTTTCCTACGCCATTCTCAAGCCAGCCGGGATTGAGATTTCTTTCTCACTCCCAAAAGAGTCTTCCGCTTACTAGGCCGGCTATTGTACCAAGGACGAACAGAAGATCTGGCTTTCGCTAACTACGAGCCTGTATTTTACAAACTTTTTGCATCGCAAGAAGCGTCCAGTATGGATGCAGGCGCGTGTCCTATATCCCCTATGTGCTTAATCATCATACAAAGGTACAAAATTACGAAACTCTTCATGCAAAGTTGCCGGGGTTTCCCGCTGATTTATTGGCCGTTCTGAGTCAGCGAAAATGTGACCGATCGCTCGTCGGACGCCTTGTGGAAAATGGCGCCAATCCATGGAAACGTGGTCCATTTGAGGGTCACTTTGAGCTCAGCAATAGCGTCCCTAGAAAGAAGCGTGAGCAGTGTAGATTCTTACTTATTTCGGAATAAATTGTTAATATCCGCAATGGGATACTTGTTGCTGAGATTGGAGATGCGGAATCTATGCTTAAGGGTTGAGAATCGCACAGAGTTTGCTTTGACGAGGCTTTTGCCCAAGTTTTCGCTGACAATCACTCGATCCCAAAGAACATGTTCATTGTGTATGCGGACCTTGTCATGGGGCCTTGTACTCTCATATTCGACCACCAAGAACGCAAAGACCTCCTTCACATTCCAGTTAAAGAGAGGCCTAAGGTCGACATCTAGCGACGAAAGAACATCAAGCAGATCAGTCGTTCTGACCACGTAATGGCCCTCCTTGCCCTGCTTTCTATGGTGAGTGAGATGGGGACCATTTTTACAAATTGACAGAGTTTATGCTGATTGAAATATTTGCCGGCTCTTTTGTTATGAACCATGTCGTCAGTGCCGTCAGTACGGCGAGTGACAGAGCCACGGACGTGGCAAAAGAAAGAACCGATCCAAAGCGTTGGGTAGCAGAGTACATTAAATTTATGATCAACAATGTGATTTGAGTTATGAAAGCTGCACATTAGGGTTTGAGGTCATACATTGGCTATTCCTGCTCTTTGGTCGCGATTTAATATCAAATGCATCAGAGCTTTCCCATAATAGCAACTTGAATGTAACATTTAAAAGCGGTTACACCGGGACATACATTCCCGCTTAATGCTACGTTAGGGTTGGGAGGCGCTTTTAGCATGCCTCGAGCGCTCAAAATGTGATGCATTTAGATCTATAGTTTTGTTTGTTGGCCCACTTTGATGGACCTTTTTTGATATATAAATTAAATTGAAGGCGCAAAGTGTAAAGTTGAAATTAAACTTTTAACTAGCAGCTATGTCTCGTACAGCCTTTCTCGTGGGCGATAACTGTGGCCAGTTAAAGTCTGTTTCTTTTGATATGCAAAGCATATTAGATAGTGGTGGTATATTGAATGGCCAAGATACTTCGCTGGTCCCCAACACGAATACAATCTTGACCCCTTCGCAATATTTGGAGTCCGCTTCGAACGCAGCAGTTTCGATTAAAAAAATTTCAACTCTACAAGGCGATGCCTCATTGGTAATTTAATTTCCCTCATCATATGACCTAGGGATATTTTTCCATATTTTTATGTTCCGATGGATGTTTGTATTTTTCTCGCGCAACTGCTGTAAATCAGCGGAAGGCATTTAAGATAGCCTTTCTCTCGGAATGCCTTTTACCTTGCAGCAAAATAATTGCATTCTCTTGTTATTTGCAAAAATCCAAGTACTTTGTGATTTTCTTTCAGATAGGCATATAAACTTTGCGGTTCTTTCTTCTGATGGGATTCTGCTATATGCTCAGGCGTTTCTTCCCAATTTGTATGACAAAGAAGAGCCGGAAGAAAGATGTCTCATTTTAAAGCAAACTGTTCCAAAGGCAGCCTCGATACTATCTGTGTTTTGGAACGAATCCTACATTAATGATTCCATCTTTGCAATTGGAGGGGATGAGTGTCAACTTTCCGTGTTTCGGATAGACGAACAATGCAGTTCTCTGGTCAATTTTTATAAGGCTGCAAAGGTGCTTCTTTTTTTAATGTGTAGGAGGAGCACAATGAATTAAATATGAAGCCCAAGTTTTCCATCACCGGAATAACATTCATGGACGGTCCGTCTTCCCAATCTCAATCTGCCATCGCCATAAGCACTGCACAAAAGGAATTGAGATTCTATGATTATAAGGCCAATTCGACCAAAGCGGTTTTCTCCAAAATAGTTTCAGAGCATCCAATTACGGCTCTTTATTATTCCTCGAAGATGAGGTTTCAAGCTCCCTCCTTATTACTAGGATGTTAATTTTCACCGATACCCGCGGTGGCATCAATTTATTTGATGAGAGAACACGAAAACCATTTGGCAAGCTCAGGGACCATGTGGGTGCCGTACAGGATATTTTTTGTCTCGAAAAGTTGCCGATCCTCGTCTCTGTGGGGCTAGATCGATTTTTACGTATTTATCAAGTCAACGACAAAAGGCTGCTACTATCGGTAATGTGGCCTTTCATTATCATCAAATAGGTCTATTTCACCCAGCAATTAACCGCTATTTCCAACGAATTTCTCGCCAAAAACATATCGATGACTGATGGAAATGCAAATAATGCTGTCCATGACAGCGATAGCGAAGCCCATGATGATAATGATGCTGACGATGATGCGGATGTGTGGGATACGCTTGAATCGATTAAAAAAGTTGAATAAATTTGTTTATTGGTAAAAAGGGTTCAGTCGTATGTAAGGTGAGGGAGAGCCCTCACCCTTGGCGACGCTTATGACGGCGATTGACTTTGCAATAAACATATCTAATTCCATTCCGCACAACGATGTAGCAATTTTCACAGCGACGAGTGATGGAAACACCGACCTTTAACCCGCGAATTTGTTGGAATGAAGACGAAAACAACGGGGAGCCGCCGAACGTGCCAAGCATTTCCGGAATCGAAAAAAACGAGGAGCGCATTCCACTCGCCTTTGATGGGATCGAAAGATTTGCCATCTTGTAGGCATTCCGAATCGGGAACGATGAGGAAAAGAACCGAAAAGCAAAATTGCTATTCATGGCAAGTGAAATTGAAAAAATTAATTATAATTTATGTGTCATTTGAGGAGCTTGATCAGCTCATGGGGTTTGATGGGGGTCTTTTTGTCGTGGTAAAAAGCGGGCTCCGCAACCATCACTTGTGGAACGTTCTGGTTTTGGGGCGCGATAAATGTGGGGAATGGAGGCGGGCTCTTTGCAAATGTTGGGTTTTTGAGCGAATCCTTGACCCTAACAATGCAATCGTCATGGCCGGGAATTGACCCGCGCACGTATATACAATTATATTTTGTATCGACCTTTAAAACCTACAAATGGTCAAAATAAAGCTTACAGGCAGTCGCAAGACAGATTTGAATTTGCCGCCCATTCTTCCGGCCATTTTTTTGCCTGGCAACACTCTGCCGGGATCCTAGAATAAGACACCCACCAACCCAACCCTACCTGTCTCATTCCCGTTGCTCCATGCGATCTGTGCGCAAGGGAGACGCCATGTGATGCGGGCAGCCCTTTAAATCCCCACCTCTTCATGGGCCCTTGAAATCCCTTCCCGATCGACTTTGATCTTACATCCACAAGTTGGCCCGGAACGAAATGGGCGGCAAATAAATTGGTCCCTAAAAATACAAACGGCAACATACCTGGAGGTATTGTTGCGTCCTTTGTGATGGAAAAACACATGTGGACTCTCTTAAATGGAACGCCAAACCTAGCATAATAGCTTCTTCTGCACGCTGACATATTGCCGGGATCTTGACTTCCAGCCCCAACGTCGATGGAAAAAAGCCCCCTATCTCGCCTGGCGCCAACAGAGGTTATGCGAAGAGACTGCACATGCTCAAATCTGATTACGGTGACAGCATGTTTTTTTCCAGTTACGTGGTCAAAATAGGACATCATTCCGGACTTGAACCCAACAAGACCAACTCGCTTTGAAAATCCGGCAATGTACGGCCTTTGCTGCAAAGGCAGTGTTTTGTAAACCGAAAGCGCATCCGAATTGATGACATCCCGAACGGGCTTGGTATCAATTAAGCTCACCGAGGTATTTAGTGCGTTGGGTTTGACTGCATTGGGGATTTTGCTTTCAACCTTCAGATACTTGTGGATGGTTGGATGAAGGCGGTTTTTTTTTTCAATCACATAATCGGGATCTTCGTACCAAAGAGCCTCCTTTTTGGTATGTCTAGACAGTGCAATTGGAGTGGGCGGCGAAGCCTTTGGCCAGAATTTCCTCATCAACATTGGTATTGGGGGTCAGCGCACAAATTAAAATCCAGCCTTTTAATTGCACATTTGTTCTGGCTTCCGAAATGCATGAATGTGTTTTTGTTGCCATCCTGTCTAACTGATGATGAGTACATCCGCATATGAGCCGTGTTTTGATGCATACGGGTCCCTGAATTCAGAGTTTGAGTGGATCCATTGCAACATGTGCTTTGTTGAATTAAGCGACCATGTCAATGTGGAGGTCAAGCAAGGGACGGGGCTTAGCGGATACTCCTATTTTCAGGTGCTTCTGCACCCCAGGTCTGTTGAATCGCTCAAGTTTTCTCTTCTTACGTGTGGCCATATTTTTTGTACCAATTGCTTTCGCCCACAAGACGCTTCGAGTGAACACCAGTGCTCAATTTGCCTCAAACCGATTGCTCATTATTTGCTGGTGGGAGAGGTGATTTTCGCGCCCTCTAACAGTGTAGCTTCCCAATGAACTTCTTCAGTATTTTAATTCGTCCTCAAAGTTGCTACTGGCTACTCATGAGGCCGTTAAAGTATCGTTTTCAGTGCCGCTAACATTATTTAGCTTCAAATGGAAAACATGAGGAGCCTGCTTAATCACTATCGACACAAGATCGAGCGTGAAAAGGATATTCTGATCAAAGCGAAAAGAGAGCTCTTGAATTTAAAGTCAATCAAAGAGTACCTGCGCTTCTAATTTCAAATAGCGAGTTGAAGCAATTGAAGGAAGAGAGGACGCGGGAAGACCATATAAGGAAATCGCAGCAAGAAAGAGAGTACGCGGTTGTGTAAAATTCCACCTTAGGTCCAATCCAATTACAGTGCAACTGCCATTCCCTCCTCCGATCCATCAGATGCAATCTCAAAGCGACATGTCTGATCAAAACAAGTTTCCCGCATCTCCAAATCAGTGTGCCCCCGCTTCTCCCATTGACAGGCAGCATACAACTACTGACCATTCCGCGATTTACCCAACTGAACCGTGCCACAAGACTGCTCAAAAGTTGGGCCTACTTTCTCCTAAAACCCGGCCCACTTCGTATACACCGTACAGGTGTGCACCTGCAGAAGCAGCTTGCCATGCATCTTCAAACATGTATTCACCACGATCAGGGCCCCCCTGCATTTCACAGAACAGAGAATTGAATCTCCCATCTCCAGCTGAAGATCCATTAAGGCTGTTTTCGCCAGATCCGCACCACATCAATGGATATCATAGCCACTTTGAGCCATTCAAATATCCGCGGCAAATTTCCCATCAAACCCTTCCAAACTTCATCCAGCCTGGCAGGTTTCCTCCTGCGGTTCCCACATTCCCCGCATCTGGCGCAACACAGCCAGACCACTATTATCCCAACGATGCCAGAACATACCGTTCATCGAAACAGGGTCGTAATAGGTGATACGATACTTGGTTCATTACAACTTGTATTTATTGTTTTGATTAATCTTCCTTTACACCACCCTCAATGATTTCGCTGTGCGGGTTGTAAGCCTCAATTAGAGCAGCTAAAATGGCAATGTTTGAAATAAAAAATAAGCAACTACATAAGAAAACGTCAAGGTGAGCATTTTCACCCAGAAATTCGAGCCTGTAGGCGTTATAAAGCCAGATGGCCTGAGAGAATACCCAAAGCAGGCACAAAGCAAGTATTTTTTTAAACTCAATCGAAATGCTGTGCACAGCAAGAGGCAAAAACAAAATGTACCAAACAAAATACTGACTGGTACATACTTTGTTAAACGACACGAAACAATACGTGACCAGGAAAAACGCATATGCCAAGTCATCGCAAAAAACGAATCCAATCAACAGGGTCAAAAAAAACTGGGGCACAAAACAAGCGAGGTTCAAGAAATTTCCCAGCAATACGTGTTCAGATAATCGGATATGAGGCAATAAGTAAAAGTAGTAAAAGTAAATCGACATATTATGCCGATGGTCCTTTCTTGATAAATGGTAAAGATACGTTTCATAAAGAAAATCAAACCCGTATGTTAGATAAAAGGCTATCAACAGAACAAAAAACATGCCGCCACTGATCATTGCAAAGACAACGCCGCTGACAGGAAGTATTGAAAGGATCCTGTTTTTGGCATTCTTTTCTTTATGATAAAAGTTTGCCAAAATCGGAACGCTGAAAAGAATGGGGAATATTTTCAAATGAACACAAAGGCCATACAAAATCGCTGATATCGTGGTTTTTCCAACCGAGTGGAAGTAGAAAAAAAGCAATATAAAGAAACAAATAATCGATTCGGCGTTCCCCCGGCACGTTATGGCGATCACAAACGGGTTGAACAGCCAGAAAATGGAGGTCCATTTAATTGCACTGGCAGCAGGGATAGCCCTGTTGATTTGGATAAAATACAAAAGGATTCCAGTGCCTACGTCAAAGACAGAAAAAAGCAGCTTCCCAACTAGTAGTGAATCAAAATAGAAATTCGAAAGCAGCAGATATGCAAGAAACGGCGTGTATCGATAAGTCTCTCTTGTATATGGAGATTGATTTCCATGGAACACATACCCCGCAGCGTCGTGTAAAACAAAGTAGTCGATGTCTGTAAATGAAATCGTATGAGTCGAATCATACCATAAAGAAAAGACGGAAACTGCAATCCGAACAAGCAAGGCAATAAAGCAGATCGGCCAAATTGAGAAGCTCATAAATTGAAAATTTTATTTGTTATCGGCTGGTAAACTTGCAAAAGCCATGAGCGAGGCAAGCAGTTTGGGAAAACTGTCCTGTTTCCCTGGAGGTGGCATTGTAGCCACGGAAAGCGACCCGGCTTTGCCCTTTTGGTGGGCAACTTGGATTGAACCCAAACCAAGCTCATTATCATCGCCGAGAGGATCAAATCAGTCATTTTGCACCATTTTCTAAGCATACTAGCTTAGGGGCAACTGATCGTTTTAATGCTCCGTGCTTGCGGTGTGTGTCATTTCAATGCAAGGATTGCGATATTACGAATGCAATCGGAGTAGGCCCAAAATGAAAAAATAATTTGGCGATCCCGGCTTTAATTTTTAAATGTCTACAAATTCAATGGGCTCAGAATCAGCAGCAACCGAGTATTTAGAAAGGACCGGTCAGCGAGAAAAGTACAATCAAAATGTTATTCTAGGCTCGTTAGCTACTTGAAAAACAGACTGGCCGAATCTACCTGGCCATCGGCTATCGAGAAGAAATGCCAAGGTAACGGTGTCGCTTTGGCTGATCATTGTGCATAGAGCTCATTTCCATTCAGCAGCCCTCGATCAAGCGGATTACAATTGACGAAATATTCACCGAACTGATGCCGTTCGCCGAAGGTAGGCTCGATTTGCACTAATTGCCGCTAGCCTCCATTCCAAACAACATTAGAGAGGACTTTCAAAAAAAAATCCATGATCTTTTAGACAAGTTTCCCCCCACATGACGCCAGTCTCCCTTTTCGAGTCCCACTTTTCCGGACTCTTTTTCCCCGACCGCTTTTTATTCCCCTGTTTGCTTGCTCTTGTGTCAATAAAGCACACGATTAAATTTTCGTTTGTACAATTTGATTTTAAAGTAAACTTTGTTATTTCATCACTGAATGTCTTCCTCACTAATTAATACAGAAAAGTTTTAAAGCATTTTTTATCCTTGATAGGAAAAAGAGGGCAATGATTTCTTTAAGTTCTGAGCAGAATCAAATCAATAATGGCAATATCCATTTGAGCAAAAAGGGCAAGCCCCATGCTGATCAATCGGCCCTTTCTCTTTGTTCTCTTGGCAATTCTGGGAATTTTTTTCTTACCAACCCTGAATTGTGTTCAAAAAAGGAAATTTTTCAGTTAATTGCTCAATTTTTAGATGAATCTGGCTTTCAGTAAGTTGAAATTGTATTCATGCATCCCAATTCGTTTCAATTTCTCGCGCAGTATTAACGTTTTTAGCCAAATATCAGCGCAACTAAAGCGAGAAACGAATATCAATCTTCCCAAAATGCCCTCCGCTGAGCTGAAAGAATTTTTGCTTTCAAATGCGGCTGCAGAAAACGCGAGGCTACTGTCTTCGCTTGATGTGGACGCCATCGCGATTAAGGTTAGACCACTGGCGTTGACTGAAATCCAGAAAATCAACCAATTTTTAAGTGTTCAAAAGTATTATGACCTTTTATTCCACAGCGAAGACCTCCAGGCACTGAAGCACTTGAGAGATGAGGTTCTTTGTTATGTTGTTGAAAACATTTCAGAATACAAGAGGCTGTTTTCACTTGTCTTTTGGGTTGGTGACACGCCTCAGCTTTCAAACCGTCTATTTGGGGCGGGATTTCTGCAAAAAAAAGAGCAACTTTTGGTGGAATTGGACAAGCTGTTGCCGAAAGAATTTCTTCCGTCTCCCAACCGATTGGGGGCTCTTTTGGCACAGGCCAAGGTATTCCAGACGCTCTCGTGCCCGAACCATTAATCGCCCTCAATTGATGCCCAGATTGTCGCATTGAAGGAGCAATCGCTGGCTTTCGACCATTTTTGCGACAAAAAGTCTTTTTCGGCAAAAAAAGTGTGCTCCCTTTATGAACATGTCGATGAGATCTGGTATACCTGCTTTAACTTTGATTCCTCCCTGCTGCTTACCACATCAAGAGATCAACGGGCCGTGATTTGGTCGACCACTGTGCACAATTGCCTGATATTTACGTGTAGACATGGAAGAAGCATTGTGAATTTTATCACGACTCGGCTGTGCACTTTGGAGCCTTTTATTTTGATTCGCGGCTTTTAACGCTTCACGATAAAATCATCTCTGCTTGGGATATCAACGTACGTTCGCCCTTTAATGCTGGTAGTGTGGGGATTTTATTTGCCACATTTCAAAACACGAGTCGTTCATCACTTGCTGCTGCTGGCTCAGTTCTACGAAATTTATTTCCGGCGGCATTGATAGGCAATTGATGATCCACGTAACGGCTTTGCTTGCTAAGTAGGCGATAGGATATCTCCAACTCGGCCACTCCACGGGTCGAGCACAGCTGGACGGGATTCCGGATTTCTTCGATTTCGCTGGATTGTGCTGTCAACCCCAAAATCCTATTTGCCGTGTCGCAGGAGAAATGCATTCTACTGTTCGACTTGCAGAGCAAAATGCTGCTTAGGTTCGACGCCACTTGCTCATCAACGCTAGGACGATTGACTTTATGGAATCGATCACGTCTCTGACCATTTCGTCAAACTCATCGTTGTTTTTGATCGGCTTGGAGACTGCCGAAATTCTTCTTTTCGAGCTGAAAACGGAGAGGATTCTCAAACGATACAAAGGATATGTGCAAGAAAAATATTTAATCCGGTCTTGCTTTGGCGGCTTGGGCGAGACCCTTGTGCTTTCCGGAAGCGAAGGTACGCGCATGCTCTTTTAATGCTCCTCGCCAGACGGCTATTTATATTCTTGGTACGCAAACAGCGGGCATCTTTTTGGCCGCGTGAAGACGCATCAATCGGCACAAACATGCACGGCGTGGAGCAACCACCTAAATCTAGCTGCCACTGGGGGCGATGATTGTAAAGTTTAGTAAGTGCTTTTTTCAAATTTTCGCTAGCATTTGGGAATTGAAGGCAACGTGACCATGCATTTACGGCATTTGAAAAATAAAGTTTGCATTGCCTTCATAAATTGCGGAATGTGGTTGTGTAAATTTGCCAACACCAGTGGTGCAGTTGTCACAGCGCATCAATAAATGCTGGCAAGCCCGCATCGAGACATGGTGCTCGGATATCCGAAAACATATTCGCTGTCTCTGTATGGCATCGTGCAAGAATCGCTCCATCTGAAGCAGATTTCGCCAAGAGATTTCAAGGTCTCCATACAGCCCTCTGAGCTTTGCAAAAGGGACGAATTCATTGTATGCATTGCGCTTTTAGCATAGACGGTGCGCACCAACGGCCCTTTTCAGTGCAACTTTCGAATCTCCTATTTTGAGGTCAGCCTGAGCTCGCTACGGTACCGCTCTACGGTTTGTCTAATTCAAGCGACGACATATGCCTTGGCGTTTCGACCACGCAATTCATGTATAACAGGAGGCTTGGCACGTATCAAAAGTAAGGCTTTGTCCTGATTGCAGCTCGATCGCGCTATCGCCGATGGAGGGAGCCATCTATGTGCATAGAATGCCTTCGCGGCCGCTGTTTTCCGTTGAAAACGGCAGTCCACACGTATTTGGGTGCGGGTTTGACTGGCTTCTCAACAGGGTCTTTTTCACGTACAACGGCACAATTTTGAACCAAGACTTTCCGTACGGCGAGTCCGTTATCTTTCCCACAATCTGCTTCAAAAACTCCATTTACGATCTCTTCATTACCTTCAATCCTTCATCCTTCAAGTTCGACATAAACTCATATCTGATCGTACTGGGCTTGCGTTGTTTTGACTTTGTAGACCTCAAATACGATCATAAGAGGCAAGCTAGCTTCGTTCCCTCAAGCCACGGATCGCGTTGAAAATCTGGTTTCCGAGTATCTTGCGTTCAATGGGTACTACAAGACCCTACGTGCCGCTTCCAGCGCAAATTGCAATCACATGCCGATCATTGATGAGCGCACAGGTACATGCGTGTTTGTTGGGCCTTTTAGAAATGCTTAAACTGATTTGCGACGGCAGCTCCTCCGATGCTATCAGACTGCTGAATCACATTGGCGACAAATATGGCGTGTCCAGCATGGAGACCGTCCATTCGGCAATAACGTTTCCAGTGCTTTGTTTGCAATGGATCGAGTTTCTAAACACGCGGCCTTGCTTTTTTGACGCTGTTTCGTTTTTTAAGCAAAACATGCTGCCCCTGAGACATCTTCCGGTCAGCGTGTCGCTGCCAACAGAGGCGTTTGACTTTTTGGAGGTAAGGCGCGACCTTTTGCCGCCTTTCTGTAGTCCTGCTCGTGTCTGCTGTGCTTCTATGAGCTTCGGGACGAGTCCCTGTTGCTGATCAACCCGGCCTACAAAAGCATCATTTCCGAGATTGTCGATTTTAATTTGCAAACGCTTTTGACACATTCAGCCAAGCGAGAGCCCGCTTTGCAATTTTATTTGAAGCACTTCACGCTCACCATCCACGAGCTGTTAAGCTTGAAAGACTTTTCATCCACACTGAGAATATTGGAAAACATCAACAACGGCGGCGATCAAACCTCGTTTGACACTCTGAAAAATCTTTACTCGTCGTTGTTGCTGACCGCTGTTGATGCAAACAGGCCCAAAATGCCCAATTCATGGAGGAGCATCATAGAAAACAGCTCGTTTGTGTCGATTATCGAATAAATTTGCAAGTCCAAAGTTACAGCACAAATGTTTTATTTTCCTTCAGCATCTTGAGGGCATTCAGCATGTTGACCAGGTAGGGCTTTGCCTGCAGCGTGTCAAGCAAGATTTCCTTTTCGCTGGTGTCAAGAAACCCGCACGTTTTGATTTCATCCAGCCTGGAAGAGAGATCGTAAAGCGATACATTAGCAGGCTGGCTGGAGAAAAACTTTTCCACGCCCATGGACCTCAATTTCCTGGAAAGCATATTTTCCCTGCAAAACTGCACGCTCAAATAGTATGGGATGTTGACAGACTCTTCCGAATAGCCGGCATTGAGTGCCGAAATGGAGTCGTTGATGAAGGACACAAGAGGCCCATTTAGCCGCTTCAGCAATATCGTACACACCGATAGCCTCTTTAAATAAATCAGCAGCAGAAGAGCATCGTTCATCACAATGAGGGCCATCACATTTCGATAGAACGAGCGTTTTACACTGCAAGAGTGCGATTCGTGGCTTGAAATAAAAATCTCAATCGGCTGCGTTTCAAGAATCCTTTTCAGCAGAGCACAATACGAAAACAGGTGTCTCTGCTTGTAAAAATGGGACATCATGGCCCGATACAGCGTGCCAACAGATACCGTCTTCAGGGGGTGTTTTTCCGCAAGCTCGACAAGCAAAATAAACGCGCCATGGTCTGTAAAAAAGGAGCAAATCGATGCCAGTGATAAGTTTTCCCTGAAAAGGACATCAGGGAAAATGTTCTTCAACTGAATCGTGGCACACAGGCTCGAAGTGATTTCAGCCCGGCAAATGTCATTGATGGCTGAAAATGCATGTTGGCTGGAAATGTTTTGGCTGTCTTTGCGATATGAGATTTGCATATCCTCTTTTGGTATGCATCGCAGCTTGTCGATCAGCAGCCTACAGCCCTCGGTGAGTCTTGACGTGGAAAAGGAGAAAAATAGGCTCAAAGCTTGTACAAGTATCCTTGGGTCCTTCAAAAACAAGGATGGCTCGATTTGCTCCAAAAACGCTGTCATTGAATTGTATCCAAATACGCCATATATTGGTATCAAGACATGTGAATTCCATTTGTATATTGGCCTGACAACGTCAACGGAGCACGCATATGATGGGGCAGAATGTGCATTTTCAATGTACCGTTTTCTAAGGGTTGCATATAGGTTTAGAAACTGCGCCAAAAGATCAGGCGTTTCTGAGAAGACTCTCTTGGAGCCAATAAAGAGAGCCTGCTCCAACCGCATTTTCTGGTCTAAGGTTAAAATAGAGAAGATGGAGTACTTATCATTGGTAGCGTTTTGTATAAAAGATGCCAAAAACTTTCTCATCGTCTTGGTGGTGACGATCTTAAAGATCTTTGAGACCAAAATAAAACAAAAATCAACATCTTGTGCCGTGTTAACGACAGGCGGCGTATAGCTATTCGAAAAATACGGCAATATGCAATTTGCCACCAAAGTGTCTTTTAAGGTGTCATTGCGAACAAAAGCAACCAATTCAATCAGTTGCACCTTGACCTCAAGAGGCAGAGAATCAAATTTAGGAAAAAGCATCAAATCAAGGTCCAAATAGCAGATTAGCTCGGTTCCAATTGCAGCAGTAGATGCGTTGAACGGATACAGCTTTACAAGCGAAAAGGAGGCAAGCTCCCAGCATTTCAGGCCCAATAGATTGTCCAAAACAGGATCCTTTGGCTTTGTTGCTTTAAAAAAATCCGAAATCATCCTCATGTTGATGTGCAGCATTGAACATGGCGAGGCTGACAAGCCAGCTGCAGGGGAAGGGCACAGCCGTGGATCCGCAGAGACTGCACCATTGAACGCGGTATTTTCGTGTCCTTCGCAGAAAAATAGCTCCAATTCATGGTGAAGGTGAGCAGCTCGCGTCACATCGCTGCGAGGGGTCATTTCAAGCCACTTTAGGGTGTTGAAAATGTACGCCAAAAACAGCTGACAAGCCTCGCCATTTAAGGCGGTGGAATGGTTGATTAGAGACTCGAATTGGCTAATCAGACTGCTAGAGCTTCTAGAAATATCTCCAAACCGTGAAGGGCTATTTCCTGAAAGACGATCGATGAAGATTCTCATAAGGTATGCCCGATCTTGCTGAGACGAGAAATAAAAGAACAATTGCAGCAACACGATCAACGGCGATGAAGAGCCGGATTTCCAGCCAAGCGATGGCTTCAGTTCGTCAATCAGCTCTGAAAATATTTTCTTATGAGATGATTCCAAATGCGGCTTGAGATCCGATAGCAATCCCTGCATTCCAGCTAGAACATCAAGGTTAAACGCAGCGTTCTCCTTGTTGCGGCCGAGCATGTTTGTCTTTAGGGTGCCAACAAAGTGTATAAACAATGCCTCAAAGGTGATTTTGCTAAAGCATTGTTTGCTACTGGACAGGGTGGAGACAAATTTTTTTGCAAAACTAGACGATGCAAAATGGACCACGGCCACCGCCACCACGGCCATGAAAAGTTGGGCCACTTAAATTGTGTAAATTCAATTTAGTTTTTAACTTTATAATCACCCAAAAGCGCTTGATCATGTCTTCTTCGACGACGACAACAAGAATGCAAAAGCTGATGGTCCAGCCCATCAGTGTTATATTTAAGCTCTTCCAGTCAAAATCGCCGGTCCAGATTTGGCTTTACGATAACAAGGATGCCCGGATGGAGGGCATTATAATAGTATGTGTCTTTTATTTTACAGGCATTTAGGGTTTTGATGAGTTTATGAACATTGTACTTGATGCTGCAGTAGAGATTTCAATAAAAAGACAGACCAGGTCTGAACTCGGTAATGACATTTGATTTTCATCCTAGGCCGAATAATGCTCAAAGGCGACACAATAGCGCTTATTCGTAATCTAACTTCTTAATAAAGTATTTCAAGTTAACGTTCTTCTTTTTTACAGGCCGTTTATTTTTTTCTCAGTTGCGAAGGCAGGGTTTTGGGGATGGCGCCTCCTTGCATCTTTACCTGCACCAGCTTCATCATCACAATGTATTCGTGAAGAGTAAGGGCGCCATCTGAATCTTGATCTGCAAGCTGCCAAATTTCAGCAAGGTCAGAGTTTGGCAGATTTGCCTCTGAAAACACGATCTTGGCCTGGTTTCCCGATATTTTCCCGTCAATCGGCCGCAAATTGTCGAACATTTTGGAAAAATTCTCCTCATTAGCCCTGGAAATGGTCCAAATTCCATCCGTTCGCTCCTCCTTTACATGCGTGGCATCGCCAGCATTGGGAGAAAATTCAGTCTTCTCATGCTCCCCAAGTTTGTCGAGTTCCTCGTTTTCTTGTTCTATCTCCTTGTGCAATGGAAAGCTGGAGACCTCATTCTGCGACGAAAAGTTGGGGGCCTCATTTTGTGATGAAAAACTGGGCGTCTCCTTCTGCAACGAAAAGCTGGGATTGATGTTTGAGTTTGTGTATGGATTGAAGATTTGCTGCGGGGGGATATTTGGGCCAGGAGGGAAGTCTCTCATCAATTGGGGAAGATCCTCTGAAATCGCCTGTTCAAGTCGATCTAGTAGCTTTTGATACATTTTCGGAAACTTGTCGAAATCCTGCTCCGATAAAATCGACCTGTAATGGTTGATTTCGGGGAAATCTCCGGGCGGAAATTGCGTCTGTTTCTGTACTTTGGTAAAAATCATCGGAAGATTCTCAAGCAGTTCTGCCTGCTTTGCACTCTTTCCAAATAACGATGGCATTTCCCGCTTAAGCGCCGAAATCAGGTGTGCATGTACGCGCAATTGCCTAAAAAGTAAAGCACACAGTGGCTACCTTGTTCTTTTCAGAAGGTCATTGATTTTCCTAACGGAAGAGCTTCTTGGAAGCATATAAAGGTCGTCAAGTAAATCCGCTGTTTCCTTCTTAAACAGGGACTCTGTGAACGGATCGAGAGCCACTGGATTCTCTTGAAAAGACCCGATATAAACACGCATCACTTCGGGCGTATGGATAACTTTTCCCAGTGACCACATTAGGGCCCCATACCTAAGTGCAAAATAAATAAACAAAGCACGCGTACACTCTCATCAATTGCTGGCTATTGATCATGTCGGCCTTATTTAGGATGATTCTTATTTTGTCGTCATGGCCCTTCAGGGCAGAGATAACTCTCTTGAATTCATCTGAAATGTCCAGTTTGTGCGCATCAAACAGCAAAAGGATAACGTCGGATTTTTCGGCAAACCACTCACAGACCTATAAGGGTTAAGATGTTCTGGAAAAACCTTGGCAAAATCATAGGAGCGTCCGAGTCGTTGCTTTTCTCCTGAAAGGACACCAGGAGTATCGACAAAAGACACAGACTCCAAAAGCGCATTATGAGACTGCGAAATTTGGAACTTTGATAAAAACGAAGATCCATGCTGCGAAAGCGTATGGAAGGGTTTCTCCGTTTGGGCGACAGCTGCATTTCCAGGAATGACGCGGGCGTCCGGACCATGCATGACCGCAACAAACTTGTCGGTGGTAGGCTCAGGCCCAATATGAGACCCTGGATAAATCTCTCCCAGAATCCTCCTGATAAAGGTGGTCTTTCCTGTCGAGTATTGCCCAAGCAATAGGACCATTGGCTTTGCCAATATCTCGGCCTCTGACAGCGAAGGTGTAAAGAAAATAGGATACTGGAAATATTCCTCTACAGGCTTTATTTTTCGTGCATATATGTCGGCCACACCTTGGACCAAAGATTTATATTTCGGCACCATGGGATCAAAATAGGAATGAAATTTGGGCTAAATTCCAATAAAGCACGCTAACCCTAGCCCGCCGATAAATATAAACATTCACGTTTTACACGAATGGCATTGAAGTTTAAAAATTTGCTGCTCCTTCAAGTTTAAAAATTTGCTGCTCCTTTCTGGAAATGACAAGTCTTCAATGTACTCGAGCGTTTTAACTGGCTTTGCAGCGTTCGTGTAAAACGGGATGCCTATGTACGGACTGCACTTAAAAAGACGCCCAATTCCGTTCAAGTAATTAGAGATTTTTGGTTTATTTATAAAAGCTACAGCTGCTCCCAAAACTAGAGAAAATAAATTTCAAACGCTTACCATTATGTAGGACTCGGCTATAAATACATTCTGTGGCGGCACTTCTTTTACATCCAGATCCGTGATTTCATACCACTTGTTTGTTGACTAGCCCAAGATATACACACACAACTTTGCCTACCTTGTTGAGAAGATAAATACGATATTGGCCAATCGTTGGATCCTCCTGGCCTTCGAAGACAATATTGGCAATGATCCTGTAGTTTTTGACACCATTTTCTACAAATTGGCACCGATTTAAATACCTGAAGAAACGGATAGCCCCTCCAATGGGAAATTGACGATGGTCCGCGATTTTTCGAGCTTAAACTGATTTTTCTTGAATCGATTAACATGCAAAATTAGAAATGCCGGAAGCGAAATAATCTTGTACTCTTTTACGATGTTCCCCAAATCCTAGTTGAAAGATACAAAAAAGAGCTTGTACTTGAGCAGTAGTTCCATTAAATTTCGAAAGCAAGTCGATGATGGACACTTGAGGGATAATTCCGGATTTTTTCTCATCCAAAAATAATGGCGATGGAGGAATATCCAGTTGAAGCGTGAAAAATGTATTTTCGGTCACTGAAAAGGTGATCAAATTCTCTACTATCTTGAGCGGGATCTTCATACTTGGATTTTACGCCAAATTTTTTGATCATCACTGGATCGGAAGGCTTTCGGCTGATGATCCGAATTTTGCCTTGAAAAGCGTTTGCAATTAAATCCTCTGTTTTATGGAAAGTAATGCGCCAAATGGTACCTTTGGTAGCGGTGTAAATTTGCACCCGTAAAATGTTGAGGAACCAAACCAAAAACTTGGAGGGATCTTCTTTCTTGGAGAGAGAATACTTTTTCGCAGATTCCAAAGAAATGGTCTAAAAAATCAACAAGCCCGCATCTTACTTGCAGTAGCTCGTGAGGAGATACATGGTTTTTGAAGGGGTGGAAATTCCATATTTTGGCAGTCAGGTTTCCAAACGTGCTAACAAGATGAGTGAATTTGGGGTTGAATCGGTTTGAACCAAGCAGGAAATAGTCTCTTATGGTTGGAATGTGAGAAATTGCTTGCACCACAACGTTTACATAGTCGTTTGCCTTGATATTATTCAGGCCTATAAATCCTGGAATGATCATTTTTTCGAAATGAAGATCGAGTTTTTGCCTGCTAACAGTGTCAAGCATTTGGACATCCTTTGCCGAAAACATGGGGCAAATCAAAGATTTGATATCGTCTAAAGAAGAATCCAGAACCTCATAGTTTTCGGGGAGAGAATAAACCTAAAATGACAACTTACATCTAACCCTTCGATCCTGCAAGTTTATAAAGACATGATGATCATCGTTAAGGGAATGAAAATATGCTGGAGATGAGCGATTCCGGCCCTGAAAGTACTTCCCACAGACCAGACAACCATAGATGTTGAAATTGGACAGCGTAACAGAGCATATCCGTTCAAAATCAAAGTCTAGCCGTGCCCGATCGACCGAAGCAAGATATGGGCATGAGGTGGAAGCTAGAGTTCCGGAATCTAGATCGCCGGAATCTAGAGCGCCGGAAGCTAGAGCGCTGGAATCTAGAGCGCCGGAAGCTAGAGCGCTGGAAGGGCCGCCCTCCCAGCTCATATTAACAGACGGTTCTTCCATTAAATTTAAATTGTAGCCTTTTATTGGAAAATTAATCGTCAAAGTGCTTTCTAATTGGAGAGGCGTTTTGTTTGCGCATTAAGGCTTTTGTATGTTCGTACCATTCAGGGGACGCCGTATGTGGAGGCGGCCCTCCAACCCACTTGAAGAAGCTATGCAGGCCATAGGCTAGCAACATAACCGCTGCAACCCCGATGGTGACATCTCTACTAAAGGTCGGATGCTCTTTTGGGGGTAAATCATAAGCCGAAGTGTACACTACATTTAATTAAAAATACACCACTTGATTTCTTCGTGGCCAGAGTGAGTGTATTCCAGTCCATTTTTGAGAGCTCTGCATGGCGTTGCTGGATATCGTACTTTCCAACCAAATCCATCTGTCTCCAGCTCTTCTCAAAATCCCTCTCCACAATTTCAGGAACCTTGAAGCTTGAGTATGGCCTACCCAAAAGGTTTGAAAACAGAATGGTCTTGAGCGGAGAATGAATGCTCTTTGGCGAAGCAAGCATGACAAGTGTTTAATTGTAAAATCAAGACACATTTTGAAATGTTTGTAATTTCTTTTTTGCTTAACCTAGAACTTTCGATGCTCACTCCATAGCTCGTAACAGTGTAGAAGTTAAGCAATAGCACAAATGTACTCGTTCCATGGATATTGAATATTGCCATTTTTCTCTATCTTTTTATGAGTAATTCATCCACTTTAAAACACGAAATGATATATGCTCACACGAAATGATACATGCTCACACGAAATGATACATGCACATACCAAGCCACATGTAAACACGTGGACAAAGATTTAGCTTTTTATTGCAGAAAAAGTTAAGAGCCAGGGTATCCTTAATATTTGGACCCCTTGCTGTTGGGCCTTTTAATGGCCCTAAACCTCACAATCCTAACCCGATAATCTCCTTGATTGCAAAAGACACATACCCAAGAAAGCAACTGAATTTAGGAAAAGTAATTTATTTGACTTAGGCATCTCCCCATGTTCCTTTTTCAACTGGGGCTTCGGATGAGTTCCATGTGCCTGCTGGCTCGGACCAAGAAGGACCATTCTCACCAACCTCAAGCATTGAAGGCTCGCGGTTACGAAGATTGGTCATTTGATGGACATCGGAAATGTCATAATCATCAAATGGAGTCTCCTCCGCTTTCTCGGAAGCTGACTCTTCAGGGTCACGGAAGAAGAACATATCGGGGATAACCTCCCATGGCTGGTCACGAGAAATGACACCCCTCAGTCTTAATACTTCACGAGCAAGAAGATAATAAATAAGACCAATTGAATGCTTTCCCTTGTTATTTCCAGGGATCGCAATATCAATATACGCTAGGGGAGAATCACTATCGCAGATTGCAATAGTTGGGATATTGACATAAGCTGCCTCCTTGATTGGCTGGTGGTCAGTACGGGGGTCAGTGACAATAACCAGGCGAGGCTCCTTAAAGGAACGCGTGATGTAATTGGTAAATGTTCCTGGAGTGAATCTTCCAGCAATAGCTTTGACACCAGTATACTGAGCAAACTTGTGGACAGCACGCTGGCCATAAGGACGGGCAGAGACGACGCACGCATCGGCTGGGTTCTCAATAGCAACAATGGCGCGGGCAGCGAAAACGATCTTCTCCCAAGTCTTCAGAAGATTGAAGATGAAAATGCCATCTGAGCGACGGTTGAAGACATATGGAGCCATTGAAGTTTCACAGTTTTTCGAGCCGATTTGAGTATTTGCGGCAAGCAAAAGAGTAGTATCTTCGGGTGTTAACTTTAAAGCAGCGGGGGATCTTGAGGTAGACATGGTAATGTAACTAAATGATGGAAGTTAATTGTCCTAAAAATAAGGGTGAACCGAAAATCAAATGGGGCATGACTGATGAAAAAGATGGATGTTACGGTTGTGGGATGAATTTCGTACCTTTGCCTTATCAAGCTATAAATTTCGGTTTAATAATTTAAACTAAACTAAACCAAATTAAATTAAATTAAATTAAATTAATCGGTCTAATTTCGTGCTTCCAAACTGTTGGATACCGATGTTGCTAAAATTGAGATCGCTTTTATCTGTTTTATATAGGCCTCCCCATGGGCTACCGAGATACCTATCAATGTCAATCGTTCCGGAGATATTATCAATGACTAGTAATAAAGATAATGTGTCTAATGTAGAAACTCTTAAACTTGGTGCACCATCTTCAATCTCACAAGTTCTTCGCGGGCACTTGCTTCCGGAAAATATTCCACTGATTTCACTCCCTCATTCGTTAGATACCATTTCCTCTTACTTAGATGCTTTTTTGTTTAAAAATAGACCTGCCCCAATATTGATTCTCAATCTGTTGCGAGATATGATTTCTTCCTTCGACTCGTGTTTAATTGAAGAAAAGGAAATTTTGTTGTCTTTGATCTTTCCAAAGGTGGTTCGATTTCTGAATCTGAATCCCCTTCAAAAAGATCTTGTTTGTGCAGATTTAGAAAAATTGCTGTTGAAGTTTTCAATTTCCATTTGTAAGCATCATCAACCGTGCCATGTTGATTCGTACTCCAAATCCTTGCCCATTTTTTGGCTTCATCTGAGTAGCCTTACGATCGCCGAGTTACCGGATCCATCAAATGTTGATCCGAACAATCTAAACGATCTGTTTCGGCTGTATATGCAGACAAACAAATCCGTTATCTTCTTTGAAGTTATCCCAAAAAATCTTTTGTTCAATAATGATAAGCTACTTACCACCATACTAGAATCTAGTTTGGGGGAAGAGTTGATTGATTCTTCTCACTGTCCAATCCTTTTAAAGTGCCTGAAAAACGTCTCTGATACCGACTTTACGAACCAATCTGATTTTGTTAGGATCCATCCGTCTTCGATCCCCAAGCAGAAAGCTCTTAGCTCGATTTTCAAGGGATTTATCCCTCTAATACCCTGGACACTAAAAAAAATCGAATCTACTTCCCCCTGTTTCAAAATCCTAACTCAGCAACCGGATGGTGGTGTTGATCCAGAGTCTCTCCAAAGCCTCCTCAGTATTATAAA